AGGGCACTCGTTGAAGCAACGGGGGCCACTTTGCCCATCAAGACTGCTGATACTCTTTTCAACCGAATCAAGGAGGAATTCTATTCAAGTAGGACTTCTGTGAAAGTGGAGCTTGCGAGGAGCAGCCGTACACTTGCATTATCTCTTGACGTGTGGACGTCGGAAAATCAGATTGCGATAATGGGGATCATCGGTCATTGGATATCCCCTGAGTTTGAAAAGCGAGAAGAGCTCCTCGAGTTCACCGAAATTAATGGACCGCATTCTGGGGAGAACCTAGCGGAAGTTGTACTGAAGATGCTCGATGAGCTAGATATCGCGCCCAAGCTCCTGACCATCACGGGGGACAATGCGGGCAATAACGGGACACTCTGCGATAGCCTGCATGACCAGCTCCTCAAGAAGTATGATAACGACGATGACCGCTTTCGCATCAGGCCTCTGATGCGGTTCCGTGGACGACAGAGCTTTATTCCTTGCCTTGCCCATGTCCTCAATCTGATTTGCAAAGATGTATTAGCTTCTTTAAAGGCTGGTTCAGCTCGAGAAGCGAAGGCAATACTAGATGACATGGCGATTCATACTAGCCCAGCATTCAACTCCCTTCACAGCACGAAAGGAGCAATCATGAAAATCCGATTGCTGACGCTGTGGATCGCCCGTAGCCCACAGCGCCGCCAAGATTGGAAAGAAGTATCACCGACCAAAAAAGTCAGTTATGACGTTGACACCCGATGGAACTCGACGTATATCATGATTCAAGATGCCCTTCGGCTACAAACTGAGCTGGGGCAGTTCGTGCGGATACATCCAGAAGTTCAGGCCCTCCAGCTTATCGATGACGAATGGTCGACACTTCAGCAAGTTGCCAAGATTCTGAAGCCGTTCTGGGGCCACACAAACTCCGTTTCAAAGGCATGCCCAACAATTGTGGAAAGTCTACCGATTTACTGGAGCTTAGACGACTTGTTAAATGACGTTCGAAATGCGGAGGGAGATTTTGAAGACGTGAACATTGAAATTCGCGACGCGGTGGAAAGAGGGATTCGGAAAATGAACAAGTTCGCTAGAAAAATGGACGACAACCTTCTGTACTATGTGGCTTCCGTACTGGATCCGCGCATCAAGTCGTCTTTGATTGTATCTCAAATGAGCGAGCAAGATTCAGGGCTTATTGTCTCTCAAGTGCGGGAATTTCTAAAAAAGGAATACCCTCCAGAGCCATTCGTGCCGCGAGAAGTTGACCATCCACGTCCACCGGGGATGTCAGAAACAATGTGGAGGACTCTGCGCAAAGTTCAGCCATCGAAAGAGGCCTCTTTGTCGGATATTGATAAGTATTTGGATTGCCCGCCAGTCAACTGGTCCCACCATATGATCGGCGATGCAGACGCAGAATGGGTCCTAAAGTGGTGGAAGGCTAACGCGTTTAATTTTCCCCTTATGGCAAAAGCCGCTCGCGATTATCTACCCATCCCTTCGGCAGAGGTCGGGATTGAACGCGAGTTTAGCAATGCCCGAGATGTTTTGGGCCTCCGAAGGCACCGTCTGAACGCGGAGACTATGCGATGGCTGATGCTATTGAGAGAAAAGTCTCAGGCATAAATTTCCAGTAGTGCATGCATGTAATTTCCATTACTTCGAAATTAAAGACTGGCACGTAATTCGCTATGGAACAGAGTGTAGGAGCATGGTTGATGTATTCGAATGTAATGAAATGAATGGTAATGTATGGTATTTTATTACATGAATAAATATGAATTGACCATATATTCATGAATATTGCGAATATGAATAAAGGGCTTATTCATATTCCTATTATTCAATTCATATTATTCATATTCGCCAATATTCATGAATATTCATGAATAATCATATTCCTTTCGGATCCCTAGTGCAAATACTCCGTGGTTACTACACCGAGGTTACGGGCTGAACCAATTTACCATACAAAACACAAAGAAATGCGGGTTCCTGGGTAACCAATCGCTTGCTAGTGGTTAGTTACCACAGCATACGCTGACAACAATCAATTGCATTAACCAATGCAAGCTCTCGATCGGTACACAAAGTGGGATTATGGCTAGATATCGGACCGATCCAGCCAAATATTGTTTGTAGGACCCATGTATAGGATACCTCATTTTCCTCTGACATCAGACAAAAAGCAATACTAAATGTAGTATTACAAGGAGATAGACCAATCAGATGAAAGAGAGGCATCCGAAAGCGGTGAGTCTTATAGCTACAATCCATAAGAAAAACCCGATTGTACTTGCGGGCGTACTCGATTGATATCGGATGGGCAAAGATCAGATAAGTCAACTTACCACTTTCGTCCTGTTTGCTATCATAAAACCAATTGCCGGTTTTTAATTGGTTCTCAAGGTATTGTGTAGACGTCATATTCCCTAGGATTGTAATGAACATGTCTGATTTCTAGTACATCTCCTGAGCTAACAATTTATAAGGGGTAAAACTAATTACTTAATCAATCACGTTTAGCAGAAGTACCCATTAATATCCTGTTGAAGTAGGGATGCTCTGGTAGTGATATTCAGGAGGTGCCGATCAGCTTGAACTGTTGATCATGTGACCCATGAAGTCGAATTGGCCACCGACTTGATATTAGGGCCTAAGGCAGCAATCAGGTGACCCACAATGGAAAGCGTTGACTAAGCAAAAAGTCTTGACTAAGACAAAATGTGGTCGGACTACCAAAAAAGTGTGGTCGGAGTACCGTCACCCTATTCTGACGGCTATGAACCTCCTGCTCCACGTCCGATTCGAAGGCCTGTCGGTGGCCATGAGCCGGCCTCGCTGTTGACCGAGCGATCCATCGGAGCATCCAGGATAACGAAGAGAAACGGAGAATCGACGGCCACAGAAAAAGACAACAATTTCCCGGGGGGGGCCATCAATCAGCAAATTGAAACGAGCTATTGGCAATAGTCTAAAGGCCAGATATTTCAGCCCCTGATTGCAGCTGAGCAAGCGATAAGACAGGCCGTGGCTTAAATCTACCCTAGATCCCTCGCCGCGAGAGCAGTCATTTTCAGGTCGGGGCGAAATTTGTCGCAAACAAAATACCATGAATATCTCGTCCAGTGGTAAGTTTCCCTGAAACGGTTGAAGATCTGCCCAGGGTCGTGCATTTGTAAATACGGCTACATCCATTCCCCGTGGTACAAAGTGATTCCGGGCCCTCGTGCACGTGGGATCGAGCTGACGCCTGCTAGCTCGTCTCTGGCTTGCCTATGCTGATGCCAGACTACACTGACGGCAAGTCTCTACCACCCTCAGTCACCAGAAATCATGCTGACACGGAGAGGCAGTGAAACACAGCTCCTGGTTCGGCCGTTCCCACGAGTTCGGTCGGGGTGCTGTTCACGGCTAGTTTAGGGGATCTTATCTACGCCACGAGCACGGTGAGTTGCGAGCGACCACCTTGCGCCAGCTAATGATAACCGGTGCTAGATCGAATGTATCCTACAGCAAATTTCTTAGGCTATGTCCCAATTCAGACGGCGATTCAAAGCTAGTCAGTATGTTCTCGTCAGCGAACGACCACCTTGCGCCAGCTGCTGATAATCAGTGCTAGATCGAATGCTCCCTCCTCAATGTCATTGTTGTAGTTCAGAGGTATTAAATTGTATTTAGTTCAGAGGGAAACATTAGGCTATATATACAATGAGAAGAACAATTTGATTGGAAATTAACTTGGTTCTTCGTATAGATATCTCGGGATTAATTCCGATGGTTCGGCTTGGTTCCTGATCTGCACCAGCCTCATATCACAACACCCACAAATATGTAACCGTGAGACCACAGAGTGATTTCAAAAAGTGCCCCACGTTTCCCATGCACGTGTAGCGATTCGCATCTTTATTTTGTGTTCGGCCGCAAATTAGGATGAGAGAGCTGCTGCTTGAGCCGTTGCATAAGGGTTGTCCGGCTTAGTCGATGTCGTTCAATTCCATGGTCAGGCACGTTGGGGCAATTCCGATCTAATTTCCGCCCTTTGACCAGGCCTAAAAGGCACCCTCGGGTGCAATATTGCCGTGACTTGCCTTGGGAGCGTGATTTGTGCGATTTCTGACCCGTCGATAAAGACGAGGAACCCGATTGTTGAGAAAGGCGGGACTATGGAGATCGTCGACTCGGAGTATTAGGATCGAAACCACCTTCAGAGTCATCATGACCTGATGATCTCGAGCCCCGCGAAGGATTATACGCAGATCTGGATCTAGTCTTGACAGGAGCTGCTCGGCAGTATTCCAAGCGACTTCGGGTCGATGGTTTAAAAGGGATGTCCTTCTCCGCGTTCTCCTCCAAAAGATCGTCGTACATCATCTCCCAAGTCTTTAATTTGTCGGCCGCCCAGTTTATCCAAGCGATGTCTCGTACCGGTTCTCGCAAAGCGCGAAGAGTGAACGCCACCATCCGGTGGAGCCACCCTGCTCTGCCTCTTGCCCCTTCACGAGGCTTCATCCCTCCTTGGCAGACCCTCTGTGCTATCCTCTCGATGATGATTACTTCTCCATTAAAGGTCCTGCTTTTGTTGCCCCGTTTGCCGTGTCACGATCAGGCGCCTGGACCGGTTCGGAGGACCCACTTCATGCGCTGCCATACGTTTTTTGCACTTATCCTGACCGTCAGACCGAATCAAGGAACTATTCCTTGGTCTGCCTCCCGAGGGTCATCCCTCTGCGGGTTCTTGAATTCCTCCTTGTAGCCGATCTTGGAATTTTGCTTTTGTATTCATAGCCCCAGAGCTTGAAGCTGGCTCCATGCAGGCTGTTGCAAAGTTTGCCAGGTGGCAGTACTCCGAATGGGCCCTGCTTGGGGAACGGGCACCAGGCAGAGGAATATCACAGGGTATAATACATTCCATTGGAATAGCTATTCAACAGGTCTCACAGGGGTAGGGGTCCTTGCCAGATACAAGATCTCTCGACAGTGGTGCCCTCCGGAATCAAAACTTGAATGGAAAAATGTCACTATCCCTGACCCTGAATCGAAGTGTCAGTCTGTAAGTCGTTCAGTACCTGATACACTTCCTCGGTGCCAGAGGGAAAGGGACTATGTCGCCAGTTCTGCTGAAGAATGCCCTTGACAGCCTCCACCACGGACCGTGAATCCGAAAGTAGCACAAACCCTCGCGAGGGAACGTTCAAACCGGCCTGACCCTGCCCGTCGCAAAGGTAGTTCTCTAGACCCACCGGATCGGTCTCATCCAGCTCCATGATCGGGGACATGACCAGTGGGCCCGCGCTCATCGGGGTGTCACTGAGATTTCCGTATACCCAGAGTACGACGGTGGCCTGCAGCAGTCCAATTGTGTACACGTCACAAAGCGTCTCCTGGTGGAACGCCCGTGCGGCTCGGACGACCTGGCCCGCGAACCAGACCGCAAACCGTGAGCCTGCGTCTTGTTTCCAATCCAGGGCGTACGCTCTGGCGGTTTTATCTGCCTGGGGGCAGCTCTGGTCCTTTCCGTGGCTGACCACGGGCTGGAGCTCCCTGAAGGAGACGTAGAGGTGCATCGAGACCAGATTGTAGAGCAGATCCACTTCCGGCGCCTTTCGTCGCACTTCGATGCTATCTTTCCTGAATCGTTCCAGGATTGCGGTGAGTTCGTCGTGGCGGGACATAAGCACTAGGCTGTTCCAGGAGCTCGAGATGCTGGCTACGCTGCTCAGTCGGCGGTACTCTTGTACGATTGACCAGAGCCCGCTTACGTAGACCATGTGCACGAACGGGGAATCCAGACAGTGTCCATGCGTCCGCAGCAGTCGCGGTGACCGGAGTAAGTCTAACAATGACGTTGGCTGTGGTGTGGTTCGCGCAATGAGTTCATGTTTCCATGCGGCTGGCGTGTCGGCGCGCCAGAGCGGGTCGGGACACGGGAGGGAGGTGTCCATGTCAGTGTAGGGGAGAATGGGGTTGAGCTTCCGGGTTATGGAGACCTGAGAGTCTAGCGTGTAGGAATAATAGATGATGCGACGGATACACTCTTGCTGGGACCAGCGGCGCCATATCGGGTCGAGTTGCTCAATCGAGTCCGTCGCCAGGGCGGCTTCGACCGTCTTTTCTGACCCATGCAGAAGCATACGCGCTTGAGAGATGATAGTCGAGGTGATCATGGAGCAGCTCTCAGCTAACCCGATTTTTCGCGAGATGCCGCTGAAAAATGCAATGTACTGTTGGATCAGGTACGCCTGCGCGAGGTCCATATCTCGCATCTTTGCATGGTCTTCCTCGTACTATCGGCAAGGGTCAGCCAAGTCATGATCAGAAGGGAGCTGTTGGTGTATTTCTACCCGTTGGATAGTGGCACGGCGCACCGTCGCTTGCAGAGCGTATCCGAACTTTCTAACCGTAGCCATGGGGCCGTCTATAGACCCCAGTGCAATCATCGCCGCGAGAAGCTCGGGACGTCGACTCTTCCATTCAAAGGTGGGTAGGTGTACAAAATCAGTACACTCCACCTTCCGCTGGCTGACATATCTGTAGACTAACCTGGACAGAATCTCAGCCGACGGAAAATCTTCAATAATGGGCGCGATCCTTTCTGGATAGGCAGCGAAGACCATGTTCAAGATGCGGTCTCGAGCCGCTGGCGCGATTAGTTGTAGTGAGACATGTTCCGCACCTCGCTTTGCCGGGAGTTCATGGATATCGCCGGCGAATGTTAGGTTGCCTCGTTCCATACTCCCATTTTCTGTAGGCAGAGGCACCCACGTCCGAGCCACGGATGAGGCACTGTATGCCTGCGAGCTGACCGGCATGACGGAAGCGCATTTGTGATCCGGTGGCTCGGGACCCCATATATTGGTCTCATTTGCGGCGGTCACCTCATCGAGAAAGGAAAAATCCATGTCTTGCCAGTCTGTGAGGTCGCCCGCCGACGTCTGGTCCGTGTTTCTATCACCCATGTCGAAGAAACTTGCCGTCGTCCACAGGGTATCGGCGTCTGGTGTGTCGAACAGCATTGGTTCCGGCAGCGGCGCTGGATCTCCCCCTTGATGCACTGACCTTGGTATGTCATCGATCGCGGCGGCCTCATCCGAGCAGGCGGATTGCGGATGGTCCGGGGGAGCATCGCCCCGCTCTTTGGAATCCGTTGGGCAGCGTTGGCTCTGGGCGTCGTCTGAGACGGCTGGCCCGCGGACGGGGACGTTGTCTGGTATTTCACAGGGATACTTTTCTTGAGACATCGTGGACACGGCTTTTCATCCGTACATTTCAACTTGGAAGCTGCGCAGCGCTTACATGCCTGGGCTACTCGATAGGTAAATCTATTAATTGCCGACGCGGTGGCTGAGGACTTTGTGTCGTGAGCGTGTTTTGCCTGATGTCTCAGTCATGAGATCGCGGCGCGCAAACGCCTTGCGACACAGGGGGCAGATAAAGGGTCGTTGTCTCGTGTGCGATCGGTAGTGGCGAGCGAGGTGGTCTGCGCGACTGAACTGGGCCGCGCAGACATCACAGTTGTAATTTTCAAGTCTCGCTGTTTTGTAGCTTCTCACTAGTAACGGTCCCATCATGAGAGGGGAGCCAGAGACTCCAGCATGCAGATGGCGAGGATGCAGAGATAATCCCAATGATGCGACATCCACGTCGTGGTACCCTTGGCGGTGCTCCCCGGGTTTTGTCGTGCGTGTGGAGTTGCGGGGTGGAGTTCGTGTCCACGAATGAGGCTTTGTCTTTCCTCCACTTCCCGACCGACGATGATGCTCCACGAAGGACGCCAAACTTGGGAATGACTAATGGACGCGGAGAAATTAACGTTTTTGTCAACCAAAATGACCATGGTTATTCAGCTATCATCCTTCATGTATCTCATCCCGAGTTTTTCTAAGACACTGGAGATTAGAGTAAGACGATGTTTGTTGATTGATACGTGTTCGATACTATTCGAATGGGAATACTTAAGGAAAGACCAGTTTGGTCCAAGCCTTGCACTAAGGTCATGAGAATGATTGCGAAGCAGAATATCTCCCATTTCACGTAAAAACTTGGAGACGAACTGAAAATCCACCGAGATCTGCCTCTAGTAGCTTCCTTACTAGGGATTCTTCGTCTAACGCATTCAATTTATGGCCATTGGCTCGCGTTTCTGATCGTGGTTGTATACCATTGATTCGCTCGCGTAGGGTAGTTTTAGGAACTCCATAAACATGCGCAGCGCTTTTTTTTGGATTTTATTGACTTGTTTGAAAAGCAGAAAGAGCCATCTGAATACGACATCCCTTAGAAAGAGGCATATTTGTATGGTGGAGCAAAAAGATGTGTTGAATGAGGAACTGTTTGGAAAAGTAGGAGTCTTGTGGGGCCGCGGCTCGGCGGTGGGCGCCGTTTGTGGTGAAAAATGTTATCGGCCCGGTCGATGAGTACTTCGACTAGGGGCTTGTTGATCTAATCTATAGGCGGCAGCAATGTGTATAGACACCCAGCCTAGTGGTTCCAGAACCGCTGATATAGCATCCCGATTCCTTTGCTGGTGGCGTACAGCGACAACGCAGTTAAGGGCAGCACATATGTGACTACGTTGATGATCATGCCCTGCAAGAAGTAATCCATCGCCCCCGCTTTTCCTTGGCCGGTCGGCTTGAGTGGCTGACAAGCCCGAGAAACGATTCCCGACGTTTTGGCGGCGGTGATATGATCCCAAAGCGTGGCCGAGTGTCGAATCTTGCCAGCATCAACCCGTTCCGGCCGCGGCATCTCAAACATCTCTCGTGTATATCGCAGAGAAACCGACATCTCGAAACCCTCCGGGTAGGCAGGACCAACTGAAGTTCCGTGAGTCGGGATGTCCACCATGGGTTACAGCAGAGAAGGCTTACTTTGCAGTTCCGGGGGAATGTGGTTGACAAAGGTGGCTCGCGAGGGAATGTACTGAGACAGATACTTTGCTTCATCGTACCCTGCAAAGAGATAGAGAGCTCCGGCTGGATGGCCCTCACATATTGTGTCGATGGCGTCGTCTAGACTAGTCACCTTGTGGATGATGAAGCCCCACTGGTGCTGTCTTTGGTGTAGGCGGGCATCGGATCTAGTACAATGAGCACATGTCATCTTCTGGTGATACATATCGACCTTACCTGTCTGATATTTTGAGCATTGGAAACTTAGGCTTCTGCAGACCCGTGGCAGCCCCCTTGAAATCACTAGGTTTCAACTTTAAATCCCTTGTGGCGAGGCGTGTCGCAATCTCTCGCACGAGGGCACTGTGAAAGGCGTCGAGAACGTATTCATTCACAAACATCTGGTCAACCGAGTACCTGCTTTGGCCCCGGAATAGGAGCTGGGACGCCACGATCTCCTTGGCCGCTGCACTGGCATCGGCTGTCCGGTCCACAATGACCACGGACCTCTGACGCGTGGATGGCAATACGCGAAGACATTCAGATGACGCTGAATCCTTCTCCGCCGTCTGATCGACAAGGAGGCAGCGACGCAGGAAATCTGGTCCCGGTCGTTGGGAAACGGTCGTGACAGAGTCGGTATACAGCTGCAGCTCTCCAAAGCAGCGGCGGAGCACCCGGCTGCAAGCGAGACGATCCTGGATCTGTTCGGAGGTCCCTGTTAGTCTTTACTCCCACTGATGATCTTGGATACCAACATAACAAAGGGTTATCGAAATAGACGTACTTCTATCACGACACAATTCCCAGCAGCGATGGCCGCGGAGAGCGCGGTAATGATGCTGAAAAAGGCGGTATAGACCTCGGGAATCACATACACGATGCCAAAGGGGACTCTCTTGTCGAGGCAAGATTTCTTCCGGGCAATGCTATACTCTGCATCCAACTCGTCTTTGAGGTTGAGTCGATTATAGTGGGCGCGAAGCTCGAAGAGTCCCGCGGACACCACCACCTGGGCTTCTTCGCGGGAGATACGATCATCCTCCGCCGTTGCACTCACCAACTCCTCCACATTTTCGGTCAATTTGACGTGAAGCTCCTGGAGGATCCGCTGGCGGGTACGCAAGTCCTTCATTCGGCCTTCCAGGGCGGTCGTGAGGACCAGATCAAGGCTGGTGGGCGTCATGGTACGAGCCGACTAGGTGGTATCTCGCACGGGATCGACTGACGTGACTCGTGAGTGGGAGAGAAATGGCCAATCCAACGACCGAGCCGGAGCATTATATCATACCTGGTAAACCTATGGAATGTCTATCGGATGGTACAGAGACTGCGTGGATCGATGGGGGGTGTTGCGTTGTCACCGTATCAGTCGGCGTGCCCACATCCCGAGAGTCGGATGCGCATACATACAAATGCCTTGACCGACAGACTTCTTCCACAACGATCAAGTACAGTGAAACAGACGAGCGGCTACCAGAAATATGGCCACAACCACTGCTCTGTCGGAAACCGAGCCGGTCCTCTCCCTCACCACCTGGACCCCGGACACGTCGCGAAGTCGCCACGTGGAGACCGTCCATCAAAGCGAATACATCACCCCCAACACATCAGTCACCGGACGAGAGCCGAACAACAATCCGCCGCACTGGCCGAATGACCATCGTCGGGTACCTCCTCATCGGCAACCGCGAGTCCATCCGCAGTGGGTGGAGATTGGTGGGCCGTTGCCCATAAGAATCTTTCTGTGGAATATGTTCAGTGGATGTCGGCTCCTTCAGGTGAGTAGTATACACTGGCCGGATCTAGACGTATGGCGACTGATCGGCTGGGTTTAGTGGGCATATGCCGTTCCCAGATCGCTGGGATATCACAAATATGGACCCGGCGCGAAGTTCATGTACAAGGTAGCGGGAGAATGGTAGCTCTGGAGATACTATCAGGGAGAGTAGAATACCGACATGGTTCGACTCCATGTCTGATCTATTGCAGCCCATATTTGTTTGTTTCTGGCGGCCAGCTACCTCGTGAGATACCTAAGTCTATCATTTTACTCTTCCCAGACGTTCTTGCCAGTAGCTAGCTATCCTGTAGAAGTATTTTATTTTATTCCTCCATCTCAGGCTGGATGTGATCCGACGGCGGGCGCAATTAATGACCTATATGCAGCTCCATGTATCTGCAAATACGACACATCAAAGGGAAGTGAACCATAATCATGCATGACTATCTGGGGTTGTATGCATGCGCCCCTCCCCCCTCCTCCCGACAAAATTTGTGGCAACGCGTCAGCAGTCCGGCATGTGGCGAGAGGCTGGCGGTCATGCGCCTATTCAGCTATGATAGCATAGCAGAAAGTTCCAACTTGGTTAAAAGAAGAAGACCGAATCGTCATATCGACGCCGACCGTTTCGATTTGATACCGCTTTAAACAAAGTAGTAGTCAGAATCTGCTGCTGTGCCTGTCGTTCGCGGTTAAGATGGCAAAAGATGGCAGTATCTCGAGTTGTACGCATCTTCACTCTCCTCATTGTATTTCTTCTCCATACACTGATACAGGAAATGACAGCACCCACTCTGGCACCCGTTCTCTTCCTGTCCCATGGGACCACGATGATGCTGGGCACCGACTCACGGACTCGGGACTACTGGGAGGCATTGGGCCGTGATGCACTGAGCCACGGCGTGAAAGGGGTTATCATCATGGTAAGCAAACCACCTCAACTCTCCATGGTCCATAGGCAGATGATTAACTTGTCTAATGCTTGCCTAGGGCGCTCATTGGAACAGCTTAGACGACAAGATCCAGGTCGCCATGAATCCAAAACCCGGCGTCATGCCGATTTCAAACACCCTGCCGGAACTATGGGCCAACTTCAAGCCCAGTCCAGATCTCGAAACCGGCCAACGTGTCATCGACACCCTGCGCACAGAGGGATTTGACGTCGACCCGGACCCAGGCTTCAACTGGATGATTGATACCGTCCCGCTGCTGATCGGGATGTTCGGGGACAAATGTCCCCCGGTCACGATCATCTCGCAGAACTCCCACTGGGATCCATTTTTCCATGCCCGCATTGGAGCCACCCTGCGACATCTCCGGGAGGAGCGGTTCCTGCTGATTGGGTCCGGCGGCGGCGTCCATAACCTTTATCTGACGGAGTGGAAATACATGCTACAGTATAAAGACAATTTTGCGATGGAGCGCCCGCCGGAGCCCAAGACAATGGAATTCCGTCAGTCCCTGGAGGACATCATTTGCAAGAACGGCGGAGGGCCGCAGCTGAAACGTGGTCTGACCCGGCTGATGAAACACCCCTACTTCCGTGATGCGCACGGCACCGACGAGCACTATGTTTCAGCTTGTTTTGTGGCCGGAGCCGTTTCTTCCGTCGAGGATCTAGGGACACCGGGCTGTCTTGGGGCTGAAGCGTGGGAGCTGGTAAGTCTTTTATCCGTCTTTGCATATGTACAACTACCGCCCGCTGATATTGCTACAGAGAAGCCAATGCGAGTCCCAGTTTTGTCTGGGCGCTTGGCCGAAGGACTGGCGAGGTGCCTAGGCAGGTGGAATGAGGATCGTCAACTGCGGCGGTCTGGTCTTGCGATCGAAAGGAATATGATTATTCATGTTTATTGGTGAACATTTGCGAATATGAATAATATGAATTGAATAATAGTGTTGAGTATCGCGGTGGTCAAAGCTTATGGCGGGACTAGCGATGGAGATTTAAATTGATGGGTTTCCCAATTTTGATAGTTACCTAGACAAGGACATTACAACTACCTATCTCAACACGAATATTAATATGTCGTATATTCGCATTCCTTTATCCCTTTCGGAGCCCTAGTCTGGTCTGACAACAGCAATCTTGCCAATAGCCATGTCCTGGACAATTCCCATGGTAAGGCCACAACCAGTAGTTCTAGTTCGTTTCTAGATCGGAATCAGATTGAATCACCACCATACGAGGCAGTCCGACCTTGCATAGCAGTCGGTGTACATGTGTAGATGTGGACAAGAGACGGAGCTCGGAATGTGGCGGGCATCCGAACTCGGGCTGCAGCCAGGACTGATACTATGTAAACCGAACTTCACCCCTTCCACTCACGCTCGAGTCATTACTAGTCGCGAAAGCATGACCGACGTGCCAGGTTCGAAAATGGTTCGCATCCTGGTGTTTGGCACCGGATGCATCGGAACTGTGTACTCCCTGATCCTCACTCGCGCCGGTGTGGAACTGTCCTGCATCTGCCGATCCAACTACAATGCGGCCAAGACGAACGGCTTCACCGTCCAATCGACCATCTTCGGCAGTCAGACCTTCTATCCTAAGATCTATTCATCCATACAGAGCGCCGTCAACTCTGACGAAGCGCCCTACGATTATATCCTCGTCACCGCGAAGGCTTTCCCCAGAGCCGCGGGCGACGACTCCGCCCCGGCTCTTGTCGCTCCGCTCGTCGCACCCTCCACGACGATCATCCTCATTCAGAACGGGGTCGGGATCGAACGGCCGTACCGGGACCGGTTCCCACACAACCCGATCATCTCGTGCGTGGCCTACTTGCCCTCGACGCAAATTGCCCCGGGGATCGTCCACCATACGGAGGTAGAGCGCTTACAACTGGGTACGTTCCCCGCCGCCGGGGTCCCAGAATCCCATCATCAAGCAACTGAGACGCTGGCCGCGCTATTCAAGGCGGGCGGCGCCACCGTCGAGCGCCACCCAGATATTCAAGTCGCGCGGTGGAAGAAGCTAATCGGAAATGCCTCGTGGAACCCCATATGCGCCCTGTCGCGGTGTCGGGACCTGCAATTTCTGCAGGCATCTCCGTCCGCCAGAGAGATGATCCGTAAGGTCATGGAGGAGGTGGTGTCGGTAGCCACCGCGGTGGGTTATGGAGACCAGATCGGGCCCGCCGACATCGCCATGCAGATGGACCGAAGCGCGGCCAGGACGTGGCCCGGGGTGGCACCGAGCATGCTAGCGGATGTTAGGGCCAATAAACCCATGGAGGTGGATGCCATTGCGGGAGAGCTCGTCTTGTTGGGACGAGAACATGGAGTTTCGATTCCGATGCTGGAGTGTTTGTATGTTCTTAGTTCGGGGCTGAGTTGGAGTCAGAATAATACTATACTTTAGTATAAACCCTAGATCCGTATGCACGATTAGACGGGAATAAACTGTGTTTCACCACCATCGGGCGATTACCATGCATGAATTCTGCCCACATCCCGAAATTTGCCCTCTTCCCGTAATCTTGTCCGGACGGGGTATATGAGGCTGCCACGAGAATACCAATACCCCTCGTGTCGGACCAACGTCAAGAGCAATTACAGAATCAATCCTAGAGCATAATGCCGAACGCGATCCAGGATCTCCTCACGTTCGATACCGCCAGCTTCACGTACATCTACGAGGAAAACCATACGGTGGAGCTGCAAAGTGGACCAGGACTGGTTCGTCTGAATGTCTACCGTCCCAAGACCGAGGCCAAATGTCCGGTGCTTATCACCTACGGACCTTATGGGAAGGATATCCCGTACAAGGAGTGAGGACCCTTTCACTTTACCCCAGCGATTCAACCTCACCCCAGCAATGATCTAACTCGAGCCAGTTTCCTGCCGCATTCATTCCATGACCTGAACCCCGAACACCAGTCAGTGCACTCGGCCTTCGAGGTCCCCGATCCAGCCTACTGGACGAAAGAGGGATACGCGATTGTCCGAGCCGACGAGGTCGGAATCGGTCAGTCGCCGGGCATCTGCGACACCATGTCCAAGTCCACCAGCGAGGCCTTCGCCGAGGTCATCGAATGGGCGGCGGATCAGCTCTGGTCCACCGGAAAGGTTGGCTTGCTAGGAATTAGCTACTTTGCGGGCACGCAGTGGCGCGTGGCAGCCCGGCGCCCCCGGGGTCTGGCGGCGATCATTCCCTACGAAGGCATGGCCGATTACTACCGGGATCGTTGCCGGCACGGTGGGATCCTCACCGCGCCGTTCTTGAAATTCTGGATGGACCGTCAGGTGAAGTCTAATTTGTACGGACTGCCGGGCAAGGCAGCCCGGAACTGGGGCCCGGATACCATCGAGGGTGATCTCAGTGAGGAAGAGCTGCAGGCCAATCTCCGGGACCAGGCTGTCGACAACGCGCAGCACTTCTTCCGCGATGACGAGTACTACGCCTCGCGCGACTACTGTCTGGAGGATATCGAGGTACCCCTGCTGTCAGTGGGCAACTGGGGCAGTATTGTCGTCCACCTGCGCGGCAATATCGAAGGCTATCTCAATGCCGGCTCCCAGTACAAGTTCCTTCGCATGACGGTCGGTCGTCACGACCTGCCCTTCTACTCCAAGGCGGAGGTGGAAGTGCAGAAGAGCTTCCTGAGTGCGTTCCTCAAGGACGACGACTATGCTGGGTGGAAGGCGGGCAAGATGCCCAAAGTGGATCTCGTTCTCCGGCAGGGGATGACCCAGTATGACTCGCATGCCGCTGCTACAGGAGAAGTCTATTCTCGACGCGCCGAAATCGAGTGGCCGCTGGCACGCACCGTCTACACCAAGTATTACCTGACTCCGCAGAAGACATTGACTCCGGAGGAGAGGCCATCCACCCCCGATCATCACACCCGACTGTCCTATCGCGCTCTGACTGTCCCGGACGATAACGAGTACATCCGATTCGAAACCGCTGCGGCCAGGCAACCGCTCGAAATCACCGGCCATATCGTGGCCCGCGTCCATGTCTCCGTGACGCCGGCTCTGGGCGGCCCCGTACCTAAAGACATTGATATCTTTCTAACGATTCGACACTGGGCGGCGGAGGGCCAAGAGATCTTCTACACCGGCCCAATTGGCAACCCCGTCCCCGTCAGTAAGGGCTGGCAGCGCGTGAGCCTCCGCAAGATTAATACCGAACACCCCAATCATCGCGAGTATCATCCGCATCGGGACTACTTCTCCACCGACGTGCAGCCCGTCCTCCCGGGAGAGATCTACCCCGTGGATGTGGAAATTTGGCCCACCAACCTCGTCCTCGACCCCGGCGAGAAACTGTCACTAGAAATCAGCGGAGGGGATACCCAGGGGGTGGGCATCTTCAGCCACGAGTCCCCGGAGAGGTATATGTCCTCACCTTCCCCCAGAATTCTATACTTTCTTTCTTAACTAACCAATGCATTTATAGATGTCCGGAGAGATTTGGGGGCATGAACCATATTCACTTTGGCCCGGGCCATTTGAACTATGTCATCTTGCCCATTATCCCCCAGTAGAATAGTCTCTGCTATCAGTGGTTCTGAACAAGCAACTGGCTGTCCGATCAGGGTTGATATAGTACACTTCATTCTTAGGATTGAAATCCACCCGAGCATATAGACCTCCACATCCCGATATGACTACGCAAAGAACATATAAATCGTAGACACCACCCACCCACACCCTAGAAGTATACACAGACACAAACAACTCTAAAATCTCACCGAGGACCTCTCCAGTCCCCAAAAACAAGATGAACCACGATTCCGCCACCAAAGGTTCTCCCGAACCAACCCCCACTACTCCAGCGACTACCGCGCACCAACTCCCCGAAATCACCAGATTCATCACAACCCATAACGCAGACGGCACCGCTACGTTCAGCAACGCCTTCCCAGATCAAGTTTCTCGGACCTCCGTCCCAGGCGCTCTATTCACTCTCGGCTACGCAACAGACACACTTCCCGTGGACCTCTCCTCGGACCGCGACTTCACCGCCTACAAGCAGTATCTGGAGAATAATCCGGGGCTAGCCATTTCGACCGGCTCCGTCTGTCGCATCGTGGACATCGGCCCGGACATAACCAGCGCCATGCATCGCACCGTGTCTATTGACTATGGGGTTGTTTTGGAGGGCGAGGTGGAATTGATCCTTGAGAGTGGGGAGACGAGACGGCTCTCGCGGGGTGATATTGCCATTCAGCGGGGGACTAATCATGCTTGGAAGAATGTGACGAGGAGGGTGGGTGAGGATGGACGGCAGGAAGCCGGTTGGGCCAGGATGCTTTATGTTTTGTTGCCGGTTTTGCCGGTCAAGGTGCAGGGGGAAGTGTTGGGTGAGTCGGTCGTCGGGATGGGGGTTGCTGATAGTTCTTGAGGATTAGTAGTATAGCCGTGCCAAGACCACCCATACCGTGTACTTGGCACGGCTATGTAGGTATGTTGGTATCTTGAATTAGATTCGAATGGTAGGGGTTTTTTTAAAAAAAAGAAATCAAATTTAGAACTGCGGTTTCTATTCCTGTCTATTGCTTTTTTGATGGCTCCAGTAGATGATAGGGCTATCTACTAATCCACCACAACTCATCTCTAAATGAGGTGTAATACTAATAGGCTTACTGATCCACTACAAACCCATCTAGATGGGGCCTCATATTGATAGGCTGCGTGAAGGGTGGTCTGATCTGCTGCGCATCCGGGAGCAAGTTCACCCCCAGCCCAGGACCGGTGGGGATGTCCACAAACCCATCCACCACAGAAGGCACATAGTCCACGATATTGCTGCCGAGGTGTTCGGTCGTAGAGGTAAAGACACCATTCTCAAACCCAGTGGAGTACTCCTGGATGGCAAAGTTGGGGATCGCCGCATCCAACTGCAAACAGGCCGCCAGTCCGATAGGCGACAACGGGTTATGCGGCACGACCTGCACATTGCAAGCCTCAGCCATGGCGGCCACTTTCTTCGCGCCGGTGATACCCCCGCAGAGTGCGACGTCGACGCGCACGTACTCCAGCGCGTTGCGCGACAGCGCCGCCTGGAACTCGTAGATGGTGGAATAGCGTTCGCCGGTGGCGATGGGGACGGGGATGCGGTCTGCGACGCGGGCCATAGCGTCGACGTTCTCAGGCCGCACGGGGTCCTCGACGTACATCGGACGGCAGTCGGCGATCATGGTACTGAAGGTGACGGCTTCGGCGGGCGTCAGACGACGGTGCAGCTCAATGAGCAGATCGACCTTATCACCGACGACGGCGCGCATGCGACGGACGTTCTCCGCTGCATCCTCCATCTTCTTCACATGAGTCTTGAAGTACGACAAGTCGTTGCCTTCATCCAGGAACGGATTGATGTGTCCAAAGGCAGTGTATCCGAGATCCATCTTGCGCTTGCACTCCTTGAGCACGCCTTCGATGTCCTTCTCATAGATGTGTCCGTAGACGCGCGCCTTGGTGCGACAGGATCCGCCCAGCAGCTCGTAGATGGGGACGCCCAGAACCTTGCCCTTGATGTCCCAGAGGGCGATGTCGATTCCTGAGATCGCGCCGTTGATCGCCATGCCTTGGAAGTAGCTGTATCGGTGCATGACGTTCCAGTGGTGCTCGATCGCAAAGGCCGGCTTGCCCACTAAGTAGGTCGCGAAATGACGCACGACAGTCGCTGCGGCTTCAATATGGCCCCAGACGCCGCTCTCGCCATATCCCACGACTCCCTGGTTGGTTTCGACGCGGACCAGCAAGAATTGGCCGATATGCAGCGGCTCCACGGAGCGGATCAGATTTTGTTGAGTCATTGCGAACGAGGGATGAGATGAAGGGCTCAGGTGCGGGGAGGAAAGAACGTAACGAAAGGGAGAAATAACCATCAATTCAAACAAGAGCACTTCATTTTGGTGTCAAGCCGTGGTTTAGTATGCTCTTCCATGCCCATTTACCGAAACCCCTCCAATGCCCCCGAACCCTCTCGGATGCGCTCGGCTATGTGGACAAAAGTTCGGGATGTGGTGTGTACGACAGGGGCCGTACATTTCCACACTATAAGATTTGCGTTATCAGCTGACCCTGTTTGCTGAGACCACTTATCATTGGCATTCTTCCTCCTGGTCAGGAAGTAAAAGCCCTGTGTTCGAATTGCGCCTCACTCTACCGCCACCGCCGCAAATCTCAACTATGGACCAGCCGTTGAGAGTGACCATTGTGGGCGCTGGACTGGCCGGACTGCTGGCAGCACGGGTCCTACGCGAAAGACACACCGTTACCTTGGTTGAGAAATTCAAGGGAGGACATGAGGTCGGCGCCGCCATCAACCTTGGCCCCAACGGCGTACGCATCATCGAACAGCTCGGGTTCAACCAGACCCGATGCCAATCAGTGAAATGCGGTGAGACGCGCACCCTGAATAAAGCGGGGGAGCTGATCAGTACGGCGAGCATGACGCATCTCAAAGACACCTACGGGGCCGAGTGGATCTTCCAGCATCGCGCCGACCTCTGGATCGAGTTCCTACGGCTGGCCGAGGGCCCCTCGGCCGAGCTGGGCGTTTCGGGCGAGCCCGCCAAGATCCTCTGGGGCCAGGAGGTGGTCAAGGTCGACGTGGAGTCTGGGGAAGTTGTGCTTGCCAGTGGACAGACACTGGAGTCGGACCTGGTTGTCGGTAAGATCCTATCCTATCCTGATTCTATTTCTATCCGCGGACAATGCCTAATAGCGCCTAATAATGATACAGGAGCCGACGGTATCAAATCCATTGTACGGCCACTGGTCGTCGCTGAGGAAGCATTCCGGACTGCCCGTCCGTCGGGCTCGTCGGCATTCCGGTTCACGATTCCTCGAAAGGTGTTGGATGAGCAGCAACCAGGCCTCCGGGTCATAGACCCGACGAAGCCAGGCGCTTTGGAGATCCACCTGAGCATGGATGGCTCGACTCGATCAGTGATCATGTACCCATGTCGGGAGTACGAACTGCTGAACGTGGGCTGTATCACGCCGGATGCGGTGCTCCAGACGGCGACGACAGAGTCCTGGTCGGCCGAAGGATCCAAAGAAGACCTGCTGCGATGCTTTAGTGACTTCTCTCCCAGTGTTCTGAAGGTGCTCGACTCGGCGGAGTACATCAAGGTGTGGCAGCTGCGCGACCAAGACCCTCTGCCTTCGTACCGGCGCGGGCGCGTGGTCCTGGTTGGTGATGCGGCCCATTCGATGACTCCGCATCAAGGCCAGGGATGCAACCAGGCAATCGAAGACGCCGAGGGCTTCCGTCTTTTCAACCAGCCAGGTGTTTCACGGGACAGTATCTCTGACCTGCTCACGGACTTTGACCGGGTGCGACGCCCCCGTGCGTCCAAGATCCAGAACTACACCCGCCAGGCGCACCACAAGGCTTCAGCCCAGGATCTGTGGAAGTATACCGACTATAACTATACGTACCCCGGTATCCTGGAGTGTCTGCGGCGGTTGAACTTGGGTAAGGAAATGATACGCGCCCGTCAATACCCCGACGGGCTACATGCTTAACTGGTCAACCGGGAGAGAATGGACTGTATGGAATACATGTATATAGAAATAGACTGGTTTTCGGAGGATCTGAGGCAAGCTACCCGACCCCTGTTTACCAAATACTTCCTCCTAAGAGCCTTGAGGATAGGATGCCCATCGAACATAGTGCATGCTTCGCGTCCACCTAGACTGCGAGAGGTCACCAATAAAGTCGTAATATGACAAAAACGTCGACCACCAAAGTGGGGATTCGCCGTCATTATCTATACAGTTCACATCCACGCGAGGATGCCGGAGAATGAGGCCGACCACTTCCAAGCGTCGACTGCGGACAGCGAGATGGAGTGCTGTCGCACCATTGCTGTCGATTACCGCCAAGTCAAGACCTTTCCGCCCCAGGAGCAGCTTCACGGCATCGACTGATCCATGCGGGACTGCCCAGTGCAGCGCCGGCGCATCAGAGTGAGCATACATTGGCCGAGCATACTCTTCCTCTCGTGAAAATATAGCCTTCATAGAGGGCCTATCGTATTGGAATGCCCAATCCGGGGAGAGCAACCAGAATCATCGTATGCATAGGGATCACCACCGTTGGAGAGCAACACTTCCACTAAGTCGATTCGGCCCCACCATACGGCGAAATGGAGTGCGGTCTGGCCTCGTCGATGCCGGAGGTTGACTGCGCAGTCGGACAATTCCAAGAGAGCCCGCAGCGTCGAAGATGATCCATATGTAACTGCAAACCATAAGGCGCTTTCCTGCTCTCGGTTTTGGATATTGATATCTAGCCTCGGAGTTTCCAGCAGGAGCTTGAGAACTGCAGATGAACAGTATTTGAGAGCCCTCATGACCGGGGTTCTCGCACGAAAGAAGGCATTGACGTTTGCTCCATGGTGAAGCAACATGAGCGTAAGATCAGCATTGTCATCTTTGGCGGCTAGGCCAAGAAGATTACTGTTCTGATATTCGATGTTAAATTGGAGTATTGCCTTTCGCAGACGGTGATACAGCGCTCTGCATGATCTTGCAAGAGCAAATTTTGCTCTACCATGCAGGTATGTGGCAATCATCAACAACATCTCTTGAGGCAAGTCTCGAATTTGACTCTATTCATTATTAGCTTTCCAAAGGGTAATAGACCGTGAGAGGACGTGACGAACCATAATGTGGTGGTGGTTTGAGGGGATGTGAAAATGAGAGGCTTGCCGAAAGCCAAGAGACACGAGGGCAGCTTTATTACGGCTTCCAGTCCCCAGGCCAGTGCATCCGAAAAAGAATAGTCTGCAGCTCTAAATAGGTCGTCACAGGCTCCTGGGATCTAGTCGGGGGACCCAAAGGTCTCATTTCTGATGCCAAAGTCAGCACTGAGAGCTCAAGCGCTTGGAACTCCCAGGAATACGAGAGGTGTTCCCGAATCGCTGCAATCTTCTCATTATGTCACATTTGGTGTGTCTCCAGACCACAAGCTATTTCTACCAGAGGAAAGGGGTTTGAACATTTCAAGGTATGATGAGTACCGCGCCGCTCTAGATACTACCGTCTATTTCAGGGTAGCATCGGACCTAGTATTCCGAAAGGGCTCGCTGCTTACCTTTTCAGCATCCGTACAGCTCGCCACCAAGCCTTGAAGAATGTGAAAGAAAATGCTTCTGAAGAATAGCATGGCCACGCTTGCTGGTGTATTTAAAGAAGGCTCAAGGTAGCTTCAATTGGATCTCACCTCCCTCTATTCATTCAAATCAGATATCCTCAAGCTAATAGCTACCTTGATTGCTCTTATTTAATATAAGTTGCTTCTCTTTTTGATAGAGTGGAAAGAATATTTCTATCTATCCAGACTCCTTATTTTATTTCTGAATCTATGGCAGAGCCACGTAGAATGGCAGCCTCGTGCTCTAGGAAAGTACGGCGGCCCTGCATCCCCTGTCGCGTTTCCAAAAAAGGCTGCAATAGAGAGATACCCGCCTGCCAGTCTTGCTGTGACCGTGGGCAACCAGGTCTATGCTTGTATAAAGAACGGGTCCCACTATTCTTGGGGTACGACACAACGACATCAATCCAACCAGAAGGCCTGGAGCGGCAGGAGATTGTTTTCGAGGCTGAGCGGACGCAGGATACTGAGCGAAATGACAAGACGACGGATTTCCAAGAAGAGGTTTGTGAGACCGGGTAGGCTGCCTACCAATCGGGGCAGGAATTCCAGTCTCCATCTGCCTATGCCGCCTCATTACACAGAAATTTCCAAGCCAGCAACAGCCAGATAGAAGACTGGACAAACGAAGGTGAATTGGTGACGTCGAAGAGGTCATCTCCTGGTCTCGTCAGTCGGTGTTCCCTCACTACAGGCGATCCTGAGGAGCGCCCGAGCTCTTCCAGCCCTTGTACAACGCAGTCATACTTTAATATGGCACTTCCGGTAAATTCGGTGGTCTCTTTGTACATAAGGTATCACGGCTCACACTATTCCAGGTTTCCTTGCCACCTCGACTCCAACCCCAAATTCCAGCACCTGGCACTCTGTTAGCCGAGAAATCCCACACCTTCCATCAGCTCTTACTGGTTCTAAACTACTTATTCATCACTGAAATGCTCCCTAACAATGAAGGCTCCTTATGGGCCATAATATACCGGAGTGACCATGACTGGGAGCAGAGTTTCGTCTTGCAGTACAGTCAGTTGCAGTCCTGGCTCACTGATATCCGCGACGCTTTATGCGAATCTCAAGGCTTGCATACTATGTCCTGCGAAGACTTGGAAATACAGATCCGATATATTCTGTTCCTTCTCGGACAATATTCATCGCAAGAGTCTAGCTTTGTTCAAACGTGTTTCGAACAGCCCTGTTTTCCCTACAGACCATTTGGTGTGGGAGCCAGTATCGCTCTGATATGCTACGCTTTCATGGGTATTGATGCTCTGCATATACGGGGCTACGAGTCGAAAGAGATCTGGTTACGTGACGAGCTATTTCTTTCTGCCATGCTGGAGCATCTCAGATTGTCACCATTATTCTCCTCTTATCTCTCGATGAGGCAGCTACAGTCCATTCTGACAAGCCTTCAAAGGGCGTTCCAGAACGAAGAATTCAGGGTTGCGGCGGTAGTTCCCCAAAGAATTGATGTCGAAGTCAGAGCAGAGGTGATTAAATATTACACCCATGCATTCTTATCATTAGATCCGCTCCTTCTTCCCAGAATCTCTCTGGTTTTGGGAATCAAGCCATCTGCCAACAGCACCATTCGTGATTTAGCCATTACCTCTGCAAATGTGTTTTACAGCAGACATCCGATCCAAGATATAGAAGAAGATATCAAAATGGTCCCTGAAATCATGCAATCAAAGCCCGATCGCATCGTGGTCACGGAAATGTTTCATGTCAAAGCATGGCAGGAGATTTGTCGGGGTGGCCGCCGAGAAGAATTGTATATCAATGTATTTTATGTTTCTGTCGGACCTATGGCACAACGGATGGCCTGAAGGGCTGGTATATTGACTTGATGATCAGATACAAGAAAGAAATCTAGTCTCTTAATTCGAATAGGAAGGACCACTTCAAAGATCTTTTCTCGCATCATAACCTACATAGTAGGCTGCAGTAAAGCTATCGGAAAAGAATGATGCATGCCCTGCCATGGTAAAAAGTACTGGAGTTACCGAAATTGGTTTGATGGCATAGCTAGCCCCATGGCTATTATGAGTCCTAGGCAGCGTATACAGTACCCAAAAAGCCTTCTCTGTGGCGAGACTGAGAACCTCTTTCCACAATTACAATGTTTCGAACTTTGGCCTCCCTGCTGGGGCTGAGAGGGGTCGAAATTTGTGTTTGTGTATCATTAGTTGCTGCACGGGTGGAATCAGTTCAAGTCTCAACGACATAGTATTAGGTGAATCATCACTGAATGATCTAAATTATGATCCTTCACCATCCAATTTCAGAATCTGTTTTGGAAAACTTGCCGCTATTACTGCATAGCTGCATAGCTCGGCGTGAATGCTTTTCTCTCGACATCATCTTGCATATGAGTGTCTTGGTTTATTTTTTTACACTACATCACCCCCCTATACTAGCCTTTGGATCGCCAATTTGTCTGTCCCGGCTTCGCCGCATTGCTTTCAGGCCCGTTCTGTATTCACGACTACAAAAAAATGGATCTCGATGGCAAACCATCGTATAGACACTCAAAGCTCGACTTCAATCTCTTTCGTAAAAGGCCCGTCGGTATGTGATATCTTATTCCAGCTATGGCAAACATAAAAGCTAATCCTAATCAAGACAAGCCTCCATCTCCGGTGCATCGTTCCTCTGAAGCTTTTGTGAACAGGTTTCCTTTCCTATATTTGAAAACCGAGGAGCTTGTCTGGAAATGGGAGCAGTCGAAGCTCTGTGGCCAGAGCATCAACACTACCTTGCAGTTCACCATTATGCCACAAGATCACCCTTCCAACAGACCTGACAGGGCAGGCAAATTCGTTTCCATGCAGAATGGAAGTGTAATCGTGATGCCTCCGGCCTACTTGACGAATCTGAGACCAGAGGAGTATCCAAGTTGGATTTCTTCATGCAGGAAACCTGACAGATATGACGATCATTCTCCTTGGCTTGCCAGACTGGAAAAGGCCTTCCAAAGTCCGGGAGAGCATGCTTCGTTTTGAGAACTTGCTGGCCGGGAAAAGCTTTCCACTTTTCTATAACTGGTCAACCGAATACTGGATCTCAGATTCGGTTATTCTCGATCCACGATCAACCGATGAGATTGAGATGATCAGTATGGGGAAACGAGCGGCAAGTAGTTACAATCTGAGGTACCTTTGCGCTGGCCTCCCATCAACCACGATGGGACCTCTTTTCAACACGCTTGTGACCTCGGGGAATGCAGACCCAGCCTGCTTTGAGTATTCGATGGGGTTCATTTGGATTCATGCGTCGATAGATCCGAAGAACTTCAAGATAGAGCTTGACACCTCTATCGATACGTCTTGCGATCGCGTTGATTACATGCTACAACAGATGAGAGAGAGGTCGTGGTTGGTTCAGGCAAAGCTAGTGATGAAGCTTGAGGGGTCCAGCAGGATGAAAGCCGCCATCTCGGTTCAGGTTTTGGGCGTTTCTCAGGTGCGCGTCACTTCTACTCATAAACCAATTACTCATCAGTAGGATGTGTTTCAGAGCAAGGTGCCATGCTTTTCACCTTGGCCATGCTATTTGTGTCAAAGTATCTCTTCAAAATTCATCATCTTTCATGGAAAATCAAAGAATAATTGCTTCATTCGTGTCGCGTTGCCGCCGTACCGGAAAGACTTACCGAAGGGACGAATTGGTATATAGACTCGGCCACTGAGCAAAACTGTACCTCCGTGCAATCTTTAATATCGACTGACTCGGTGGGTAGGTATATTCATGAAAGGCCCATTTGCAAGGCCTTTGCTGTATTCGCAGAAGACAGATTTCATTGCGTACCACCTATTTAAAACACAACAAGCGTCCTGGTCCGAACATTGTACAATTGGTAATTGTAAGAAAGGCAAGTATGTATTCAACGTGAGGATCCCTTGGACGCGTGCTCCGCAAATTCCCGCACCACGAACGTCCTCAGAGGCCCCCGAGTCCGTCGAATTTCTTCACCGCTGCGACCGCCGGGTAAGCACCGTTTTCTGCTCCGGCCCATCTGGCGTATGAGTTGTATCATTTTTAATCCGCTCCTCTGCTTCCGCCTCGACAGCCTCCAACCTGTGGAGAAGGTCTGTCAGCTCCCTGCGGAGATCCTCGATACACTTATTTTGGTCCGTCAATTTACAATCTAGGGATCTGGCCTTAGGTTAGCCCTTTCTTCATTGCTTGGAGGGAATGTAAAACTAACTTCACCCGCACGTCTAGTCTTGAAATATCATCTGTTAGCAAACATCCTGCATTCACGATAAGGGGTGACCCGGACTAACTCTGCGAGGCATGTGAGGGTAAGCACGTTGCTGTCCCTGGGCTGAGACAAGTGTCCGCCGAATTGAGGATTCGGTAGCACCCCGTGATCGTGGTTGCTGGGAGGATCGCCCTGTTGCGGAACAGCTTGGTCATTCTTGTTCGAGGGCGTCGATGGCTCTTTCTCGGTGGTGTCTCCAGACAGAGATCGGGATGGGCTTCGGCTGTATTCAGACTCCGAGGATGACAAGGACAGTGCGCGCTGCAATCGACGTCGGAAGTCTGGCATCTGCCGTGTGTGTGGAATTTTCCGAATGGCTCCCATAGTCGTGTATCGAATCAAGCGGGGTGCTGCCGACAAATAGATCTGTTTGAAAATTATGACGGGAGTGGCTCTTATATGGTTTGTGACGGGTGTGACACTCTACATGTGTGAGAATAGATCCGGCGAGCAAATGTCCGCTGTGGAAGACGCCATCTCCCTGGGCCTACGCCAGCCATATCTAGTCTCACATTGTGAAAATTCAAAGAAGCGGGGCGCAATAAGCATTTGGCAACACTTCAGGGGATTTTCAACGGGGCAGACGTTGACTAACAAGCTACCTGCACGAATTGAACTTCCCAATCCGCGGCTCACAGAAAGTTGGCTTCGCGGTTGGACTCGCAAGTCTGCGCCCAGCGAAAGGTGCAGCTTAGCTGTCACTTTCAACGTATTCTGCTAGAAAAAGATTCAACTGGGTGCACATCGGGCTGGCTATTCTTGGGCCATTCTAGCAGGGATCAATCGAGCTGATGATTTAATTGAGAACCCATTCATTCAGTGCCTATATCAGATAAATGTAGTGAGGAAGGGTAGTTGCACGTCCAAAATTGGGAGCACGCATCGAGGCAGCTAGAATGGCAAATTTTACAAACACAAGTTCGAGGCTGTGGGCAGTCGGTTTGCCAGAGCCAGCCCATTCTTTCGAACTTACCGGCCAAGTTGAAGTTGTTTCACCATTGTCAACAACGTTGAGGCATTTTATTTGTCAGGTCTAGACCCAGGAGAGCCAAGGGTCCAGGTGGATCCATCCACTCCACCCGCTCTCCACCCCCGAACTCTCGAAATTTCTTATTTCAACGTTGAACCAAACGCCTCAACACCCAGCAAAAAGGCGGGCGCCCGGTGCGAGTGTCGAGTGGGAATCTCTGGGTCCGGCAAAATGTACGCAAGTGGTCGCTGTCGCTGTCGCAAAACGTACCCGAAATGGCATAAAAGACGCTCTTTTCCCGTCATAATGAAGAGCAGGACTTTCCTCCTCACACTCCGGGCCTCGCAGCCTTCGAGTGTCTTTTGCAGGTAAGATCTGCGTTACCAAGTACTCTTCGCAGGAGACCGCTGCGACACCAGTTCTCCCTCATAGCCCTGAGCCCTGTGATTGTATAATCTTGAGCTTCCATGCAGCCTTGAGCCCTGCGTTATCAAATTTGCGCTCATTAGGCGACCCGTGGCGCCGCGGTCCTCGTCCTGATCCTCTGGCCATTGCAGGCACCTCTTCGTGGTGTCAGAGACTAGTATTCGGGTCCGTCTGGGACCTGGAAGAAGCCAAGACCTGCTCCAAACAACCATTAGAAATCAAGAATCCAATAATACATGGTCTAGAATGACTTGAGTATTGTATGTAAATGCCACCGTACATGGCTCTGCTTCGAGAAATGCACTTTGTAGCGCTCAACCGCGTCCTGGGCTTTGAGAATGGACATTCCCTTCCACGTGGTCTCGTAGTGAATTAGAGCATCGAGTCAATCACCGATATGAGGATAGCCAATCTGGATGCCGGCTGATATCCAAAGTAATCCATTGGTAGGAATGCTTGTTTCTTCTGGCTGATAGAGGCAGCAGAATTTGTCCGTATGTAGGGAGATTCCGGATGTAGGGAGATGCGGAGTTTCGACGGTGAGTGGGTGGTGGGTCGGTGTTTTGATGGTTTTGATATTTTGATGTGTGAACGTGTTGATGTGTTGGTTTGTTGATGTGTTGATGACAAGGGCATGTTGATGGTGAGGACGTATTGACGGTGAGGGCTGGAGGTGAGTCACGGTTGAGAATTGGTTATGTATGATGGTGAAGGGACCGAACATGTGAATCGTTGCAGTGCAGGTGACTCCCGGGTACGGAGGTTAATAGGGATCACGAGTGCAAGAATGACAAATGGTGGCTTTTGTCGGGCAGAATTCCCGCTTGGTCGACTTAGTGGTGATATGTTGGTACCAGTCTAGCCTTATTAGACCAAGCTTAATACAAAGTAACGTCATTTATGCCTAATGAGGCTTTAGTCTATCCAGGGCTTCTAAACAGACCTAACGTCCTGTTGATCGGCCAACTCGTCTTCCTGCCCTTCCCTGCCCATGGAGCTCCAGAACAAGCTAAATTCTTCCAAATAACATGTTTTCACCAAACAAGCACCTGTCTCCTCTTCCTGACTAGTCAAGACACGCAAATTGAAGTTGATTGAGTCTCAAAATCGAGAAAATAGCACGACATAACACTCGCTAAAGTCCTTCCTCCCTGTCATATCTATCTTATGCTAATTCCCCCCTGTTTGCGCTCCAGGTCTCAGATACAGGTCCTGACGCAGTCATTCTATCCATATCCGACTCTCGCAGCTGGTATCTCCCCCGGGTACGAGGTGGAGAGATCCCTGACGACACACGAGCTCGCTTTCGCCGCTGCCGCAGCGGCGCTGGCGGTGCCGGCGGCGGAGTAGCCTCCACAGCTCTCCGTGGTGATAATGACCGGATAACCGCTCCTAGCGATGGGAGAGATGATGAGATAGATACCTCTGACGGGGGAGGAGATGGCGCTGAAGCTCCTGCTGCCACAGGAGCTTCAGCTTCAAGCTTTATCGTCACCGGTTCCGGTCTTTTTCTCTTCATAATCAGGAATACCTCATAGCTATCCTTGATCTTGGTAAATTTCGTACAGAAGTCTGTGAGGAGCTGTTCATGATCCTCCCGCATGCCTAGGAACCAAGGCTCCTTTTTATTCTTAACGGCAGTTGCAAATCGAAATGTATCTCCCTCCTCGCGTGTGTAATCCTCAGGATCGAGCTCCTCTAGGAGCTCGTTTTCGATGAAGTCGATGAAGCTATTAATAGTACCCGGCGTAAGGATTGGAGTAACCGTGGCTATTTATGACCAGGTAAGTTAGTATGTCTCTCTTTGAAGCGGGATCTCTCCATACTTAGCTTTTCAAGCCTATCTGGCTTTCCCGACGCCAAGTACCAGTATAGATAGCAGTGGACGATTAACGAGACCGTCGCCGGCGATGTAGGGACTTGAAGCGGCCCTCGACCGAGGCGGCCACCTCGAGAGTTTCTCCCACCAATAAATTGGCGCTGAATCGACTGCTGTTGGATCTGGCGCTGCCGGATCTCATTTGTCGTTCCCGATAAGCCCTGAAAGCGTGGTTCAGGCGTAATTAGGCTCCTCTGGTAAAGGGTCGCTCTAGCCGAAGAGGATAAATTCTCCATAGGAGTACTCGTCCTGTAGGTTGGGGATGTAATCTGGGCAGTCGAGATGGGAGCATAAGCAAAATTATCATTCCCAGTATCGTGGGCGTGAGCATCGCGGTGGTGCGCCATAAAAAGACAAATATGAGGTTTTTCGCGGCAGGATATCAGATACAATAATACCTCGATCTGAGGAGGGAGCCCAGCCTCCCGAAACCCGACGAATTTCCTCTGGTAAAATGAGTAGGTAGTCAAGTCTATGGTACTGTGGTAACCTCGTACTTTAGCGTTAAGATATATACGAAAGAAAGTCTATATATCGAATTGCCTCCGTCGATCCCCTCCTTCTTGGATACTAATTGGCTATTCTAGATCCCAAGAGGACAGGCACTCGCTGATCGGCCTGTATTTAGATATTAGGCCGAGATGCTGCAGAGAGGTACTGAAAATTAGCCTTCCTGTGCCTCACTAGGTTCCCAATCCCACGCGCCGAGGGGTTTCGAAGTGAGACAGAGCACTGGATACTCATCCAATTGGTCATGGAGAAGAGCACGGCGGCGGAGTTCGAGATATTCGACCCGGTAAGGTTGACTAACTTCCGCTGGCACACGAGACGGAGGATCCTCAGGATTGAAGCCATTTCCAGGTCCATAAAGCTCGGCTCCAATCTCCTGAAGCTGCTGGTGGCACCAAGCAAGGACGTCGGGGGGTAAATATTCATCTTTATCCCAGTCCCTGACGTCCTCCTGTAGCTCATGAAGTAACATCGGATCAACTGCGCGCTGGTAATCCGGCTTAGACGCATTAAAATAATTCATAAAAGGCTTCCCAGTAACGGCGTTCGGCCTTGACTTTTGCTTACGGATATTATGAATATTCCAGGTCTTAGCGTACTCACCAATAACCCGGCGGAGTGTGGGCATATAGACAGCAAGAAGGGCGACTTGCTCGGGGACAGAGCCGGAGAAGAGACCTATAGAGGATTAGCACCAGCGGCGGATAGTGTGCAGGATAACTTACCTTGTTCCTGGAGCTCCCGGAAATAGTGGTAATAGAGAAAAGTACATGACTTAGACAACTGCGCCCACCAAGCCTCTATTCTCTGGTTATCTGTGCTTCGCCCTAGCCAGAAACAGTCTCCATGGGCAGCCTCTGGATCGAACACCTGCCGCAGCGCCCATTGTGCATCCCCAATCAGGGATGTCTCCAAACCGAGGTCAGACCGAATAATCTCCGGTTGGTAGGAGAGGTCGGCAAGGGTGTCAAGAAACTGAGAGAGAACGCTCACTGCTGTATGAGTACTAATCCCCACGTATATCCAGAGAATATACCGAGAGTACCCATCAATAGCGGCATAAACCTCAACTCCGAACTGCGCTAGCTTCATATAGCCATCCACATGCCACACAAAATTTGGCCCAGGGCACCAATACTCGCCGCGGGAGCGCTGGAGATCGTATGATCGGCGGAGGAGTGAGTCAGGGCGAAGGGAACGGTAGACTTCGAATACTCGGTGCTGTGGGAAAAGAAAACCATGGCGGCGAAGGTGGTGATAGAGAACCCGACGCCTATAACCTTCGGCATCGCCAATTCCAAGCTCCTCGGTCAAGAGAACCTCGATTTCAAGCCGCTGCTGCTGCCGCTGAAGCGGGCAGTCTGTACGAAGCTGAATTCCAAGCTGTTTTCGTAACCTTTTAAGCGTAGGCTCAGAAACCTGGAATCCCTCCTTCTGTAGCACTTCGAGTGTTTCTTTAGGAGATAAGCCGGCCTCCGTAATTAGAGTAAGAAGGCGAGCGTGTAAAGCTTCATTCTGGCTGGGTATTTCGCGCCGCAACCCCCAGGAAGAAAGGCGGGTTTTGAGCGTGCGAAGTGAGATATTGACGCCGTGGCTTTGTATGATGGTCTGAATATTGGCAATTGCTATATTCTGAGAATAGAGGAGAGTAATCTCCTCCTTGTAAGGCTCCAGGTCAATTTGAGGGCGTGGCATTGTAAAAATTGAGGTTATTCATGCGAGCCCAAAACAGTAGGAAATGGGAATCATACTGAGTTAAATCAACAGGAAGGATCGTCTTCTGAAAACTACTATATCCAGTCATATGGTCTTATACACTAGCGTACGGAGTACTGAATTCCCGGTTCAGTAACGTAATCCACAGCCAAGTGAAACAGCGAAAATACTATATTGAATGCCAGATTTGAGTCCTCTATATCTCAACCACCAGCTATTTGGTTTTGTTGAACTTTGAAACAAGCAGTTTCCCAAGATAAAGAATAATATATCTAGACTTTTGGCCAGTCAGACCGTGATTTCGACTCTTTAGCATATAACACGGCGTAATTTTAGCGTTGAGGCATGGATAGTGGATATTCACTATATATATCTCCATGGGTTCTCAAAGTAAACCTTCTAGGCTTCACCAGTAAGTCAGAAATGCTATCTAGGTTATGCAAGCTCATTATTTTATCCGAAAGAGCTATGGATTTTGACATATGTTGTTATTTATCGCATTTAGCCTAGGATTTGGGGTATTTTACTCGCCCGTGCATTACGTTATTCGGAACTGGAACTTAGTAAGCCTGTTCCACGCCATACTGGCGAACCTAATGTAGGCAAGGCGAACAGGATAAAATACGGGCGGAGAAGGAGGCGGTATATAGATTGGCCAATTATATTGGATTCTGGGTTATTGCACTCGTGATACTTAATAACCTCCGTACGCGGGTGAAACGAGTACCACCGCAGTCGGTCTGCAGAGTCGGCCAGAAACAGCGTGTCGTGAACTCATCTCAACAAGATGATTTGAACTTGATTGAGGCACTCCCAAATTCCGTAAAGATCTTGATTCTTGTTGACAACTTGGGTGTAACTGTTGCGTAATGTTGAGCACCGACTGTCGACGATGCAGAATCATCGCAAGGCCATGACTGAAGACTTCCATATATGATCAAAAGCCTCATACCATCCTTGAAGCCAGGCGGCGATAGACAGATCTATGGCAAGGCCCAGAATGATACAAATGTCTAGGTGGAAGGGATGGGGCAAACAGCCGCAGGATTGGTGGTGGTTGGCCATCGTTCTCCCATTAAGATCCTTTGCTTGGCTCTATCTTGATATCATGACGTTGGTTACCGTTATCTAGTTGGCCATGCATTACCGTACCAGAGCTATGCGCTAGGCTTACAGACGGACGGAATATAAATAGCCGACAAAGAGCCTAGTTTCTCAGGGACACCTACCCCCCTGCAAAAGGATGGCCGACCGCATGGAGATTGACTCCAGTGACGATAGTCGCGAGATGACTGACGCGAATCAGCAACTTGAACGCGAACTTCTTCAGTGCCAGAAAGGATCATCCCCAACTGCTGTGCATTCGCGGCGAATTGTCTCGCTCGGCGTTTCTCCTCATTACGTGAGTCACTGGACCTCTGCCGATGCCTTTCGGGAACTATATCAGAATTGGTATGTGTCTGTCGTCTTGTCGGATCATGAGACTAAATCATAAAACAGGAAGGACGCCATATTGGAACGGTTCCAGATCGATCGAATCGCCTTCCGGCCATACTTCGTCGACGCCTGCGATCATTACGCCGTCTTGGTACCAGACCCCGCGGACCCCGAGGGCCGCCGATCCCTGGGATTCATCAAGTATGACAAAAAGTCCAGTCGGGTCACTTTGGCGAACGCCTGCCTGCAATTGCCCTTTGAGGCTCTCGAGTTGGGCTTCACGACCAAGGGCGACCAGAACCAACTGGCGGGCTCCCACGGCGACGGACTCAAGCTGGCAGCCGTGGCTCTGTCTCGGGATGGGTATAGGTTGCAAGTGGCGGCCAGTCGGTGTTCCTGGAATTTTTATTTGCGGGAGCCATGCAAGTCTCGCCTCCATTGCACCATCACCCCATCGCGCCAATCTGGGTCCACCCGGACGGACTGGGCCGAAGATATTGCCGGATTGCGCTTCCACCCCGAGCGAGATGTGGCCGTGCTCATCGGCCCTGGACGCACCACCCAGGGTCGGCCGGTGGCACCTGAAGAATTTCTTGAGTGGCTGCAAATATCGTTGGATATTCGTGGCCTCGCCTACCCGTCCTCGGTTGTCGAGACAAGCCACGGGGACCTGCTTTTTGACCAAAATCTCCTTGGTAGGATTTATGCCCACGGTGTGCTAATCTCTGGAACAAACTCGATTTACCCGTTTAAACTTGGTTATAACTTTACAGAGGGGAAATTCAATCGCGATCGGCGATGGCTCATGGACCGGCGTGGACTGGCAGAGCGAGTGTGCCGAATCTGGGAGTCCGCCCTTCAAACGCACGAGGACGTCCTTCTTCCGATATACGTGAGCCTCCTCCGAAAGACACCAGCGCCGATGGACGTTAGTCTGGCTGCTGATTTTCTCTTACCCTCGAACATATCCCGCATTTGGACGTATTTGCTACACGAGTCCAAGGGCAAGGACTTTTTCTATTGCGAAACATCCGGAGCCCAGGTTTGTCGGAAGTCCAATATCCGTATCCCTTGTCACAGGCTAACGCAAATCTAGGATGTCAAGATGATACGAGAGACCATTGGAAAAAGGCCCATGAGGCTGTCGCGAGAATTGTGGCGCCTACTGCGGTCGACGACACCTATCCGCAGTGCTGCGGAAGAACTTTCAATGCTTTTCCAAAATGCCGAGGTCTGTAGCCCCCCCGAGTACCACCTTCTCGAGAACCGTGCGGAAGGCACTGAGAGCATGTTTTGCCTTGCTGCATTCGATGCAGGAGATTCAAGTGGTTTACGTCAAGGGGTTCGATAGTAGGGCGGATGTTATGTATAGTCCTCAGCAAAGGACACTGAAGGTCCACCGCCGATGGCTGGACCTTGACGATACACACCAGCGAACCTCATGTCGGAACTGGATTCTTCGTAGTGCGAATAAGGAAAGCGGAAAGCGCGAGCCCTTCTTTTGCGGCCACATCATTGAGGAGCTCCTATTACTTTCCATCTCGTCGGTGTTTGGAGACTCTCAGACCCCTCGGACCACTGAGATGAGGTATATGCGCCATATCCGACGTCTACTCCGATACATGCCACACCAGATCACTTTGGCGCCCTCGGAGGGCGGCTTGACGGTTGCTTGGGAAGATAATGAGACAGAGCTGTTTCGGAAGCATGGCCTCGATGGGGCGGCGTATCATGTGATACTACACGAGGAAAGCTGTATCGACATGAAGCAGGAGCTCCTCCACTCGGACCCAGGTAAGACCCTCTCGATCGTCATTTAGGACTGACAATTAATTCTGATACTTGCCATATAGTTCTGGACTCGTCGGACCTCGCAGTCTGCGGGTGCCGTCAGCAGTTCGTTCCGCAGCGGACCAAGCAATGCCTGTTCGCAGACTTGGATGAATTCAAAAGGTACTACGCGATGGTTTCACTCAACGAAAGGTCCGCATTGTACGGTCTAATAACGGAGCCTTTGTATCCCCTAGCAGTGGCGGAGATTGGACCCTCCGTTGTCGTCGGCGATCAGCCTTTCGGTGATCTCCAACACAGGCACGGGCCAATCGACTGTTCGGGTCTGCCGATGAACAAGAGAAAAACAGTTTCATCTGCTCAAAAGTCGAGGAGCAAAAGACAGAAGTATATGGACTGAGCAAGTCGCATCTTTTATCATTCTCGCATTACTATCGTGTTCCGCTGTCCTAGTAACATCCGCTGTCCTAGAAAAACACGACGATTAATGAGAGCTATGGCGCACTTTGACACGGAGTGGATGGCCATGACAGGCTGCATATTGACCATTTGGCCCCGTGTCCTGGTCGATGTTCCCTTTGTAAGCCTCGCGCCAACGCGAGAAAGTTCATCAATGTAAGTTGTCGGTATCTCCTGGCGCTTGAGACGAAATTAGCAAGATCATAGAGAATGGGCCATTCAGACGAGTCAAAATGACTGAATTCCGTCCACCCAACAGAAATCACACATGCAAGGATTCTTGGCCTTAGAGAAGGATAGAAAAGTCAAAAGGAACAAAATGCTGTTAGATTAGATGATAGAGCCCATATGGGTGAGGGTGTTTCGTATAGCGGACGAACGGGACGTATAGTCGGCTTGGTCTATATGGAAAGAACCTCGACTAGTTGCTTTCGGAACGACATAATGATGAACCGTCACACCCACTCAAATAAGACCAAGGGCAGGAATCAGGACCAAGATTCACATTGAACGCTCCTCTGTAGTCTCATTGCATCTAGAGCGCATTGCCTCAAGCACCAGTCCCATTGTGGCTTGAAGGCAGTGCCTGGAAATACGTGGGGGGCTCCCCGGAACCTGGCTCTCCTAGGAACTATGAATGCAATCCTGGGGGCATGAGCAGTGCTACTCTTACAATCCTCTTTGCGAAACTTCCATTCTTCGCAACGCATTCTTGTAGTAGGAGCTGCCTTGATAGAGTCGACACGATGATTGTGTTAGCGGCACGACGAACGATATAAACTCGCCTGGCCGCTCTTCACGAAACCATCATAACCAACGCGCAATTATATTGCCCTATCTTTGCCCGCCATTCCAATATTCATTATGGTTCGTAACGGATGTACTTTACGTTGGCAGCTACATACTAAACTAGAAGCAGCCCCATTTGCGAGGTCTACCGAATCCAATCTTATACAGGGTTGCAGCATATCTCGAGAGCAGCGAGATATTTGCTCTTGCGAGATCATCTCGAAATCTCAGAGCCAGGCTACAGCCGGCCATACTTGCAATCAACGTCGAATGTCAAAACAGCAATTTGCTCGGCCTCGCTGCCATGGACAACGATATTGACCTCGCCGAAAGACTTCTGCAACGCAAGGCAGACGTCAACGCGTTCTTTCGAGGGAAGACCCCGGTGATGAGGGCTCTCAAGTACTCATCCTATGACGTATTGCAGCTCCTGCTGGAAAGCCCTACGCTGAATATCAACCTCCAAAATCAGGCGCAAGAAAGCGCGCTATGGTATGCTGTCACATACGGAACTTGTTCTGTGGTACAGAGTTTGCTGGAGGTCCCAAAGTTACAAGTTGACCTCCCGCACAGGCGAGGACGAACGGCACTCCATCTCGCGGTCTGGTGGGGCAAAACGGGCCTGGCGCGTCTGCTCCTCTCCAGCGGCAGCGATCCTCTCACTACAGATGACTTTGGCAAGTCACCCCGCGCATGGGCATGGCGCATCGGCCGGCCGTCCATGAAGTGGATCTTTGTAGGCCCACAGGAAGCTGGGCACTCGCTCTCTTTCTACAGGCCATCCGCCGGTTATCAGACCACTGATAACAGCGAGCTGCCGCTCCACCAAGCAATAGCCCATGGATCCGCAGACGCTATCAAGCTACTTCTGACGCAGAAGGAACTGGCCCTGGACGCTCAGGATCACAACGGGGATACTCCACTCCACCTCGCTGTTCGATGTCGGCGTCTGGCAGTGGTGGAATTGCTGTTGAGCCACCCGTGCGCCGACGTAAACTGTCGAGGCAAAGACGGCAACACTCCGCTCTGGTTGTCGACATTCTTATCGCGCGATGACACGACCGAGAGGCTGTTAAAGGCGGGTGGCATTGATATCAACTTTGTGGGTGGTCGTGGTCAGACCCAAACGCCTTCCACTTCGCTGCACCACGTGGTCGCAAGGAGTGACACTGTCGCTCTGCGGTGGCTTCTCGAGATACCTGGCATCGACCCCAACCTCTGTGTGGCAGGCGTCTCTCCTTTTTCCGCGACGGCCGCGAACGGTAACCTCCATGCGATGACAATGCTCTTGAGGAAGGGGGGGTGTAGAGATTAATGCGACCAACTTCGCGGATCCGCCCATTTGTCGAGCGGCGGAAAACGGCCACCTGGAAGCGGTGAAGCTCTTGGTCCGGCAGGGCGAGGCTCTGGCAATTAACCAGAGCACTGTTACCATCCAAGACACCGCCCTGTGTATCGCCGCCCGGGCGGGCGACTCGGAGATGGTGCGAGTTTTACTGCGCCATCCCAAAGCTGACCTCAACCACCACAATCGTTGGTTCGAGGATCCTTTGTTGCTTGCAGTAAAAGGCGCACATTTGCTGGTCGTTGAAATGCTGCTGCAGGACCGGAGAATGAGGCTTACCAGCTTGTGGGCATCGCTTCATTTTGCCGAGGAGGGTCCAATTCGGGAGGCAATCCAGAAGCGGGTTAACTATCTTCGCAGCCGTTGCGGTGCAAGTACACCCTCCTCATCATTTAAATGGAGAATCGGTGGATTTCTCAAAAATCAGCAAAAGATTTGTACAGCAGGGCGATACAAACTGCATTGAAAGGCCGGTAGAGGTATGGAATGGGATGGTGGAAGGCCAGGAACTTGATGGATTATAGGGCGCGGCGTTGATAGCTCAACAGGAATCAGGTATAAATACTGCCACGGAACTTTTTCCTCCGCATGAATTCATGAACGACCCTGTTGTTGATCCTCATCTATGCGATATGGCAAACGGGCTTAGATTGAAACATGCGTCGTTATAGAGCTCCATTACGGGTAAGAAGCTGATAATTGCGGGCGTGGAGAACATCTTCGGCTTCGCGTGTCTCCTTCCATGATAGCATATAAGAAACCTCTGAAGATTCTCTTCTCCCAGCCCATGCAGTTCACTTCGTACATAAAGAAAATGGACGCACCAGATCGCTCTTCATCGACCGAGCGACCAATTAAAAGACAGCGGCAGCTCCCCAAATACTCTGGGGATGACACTACGGCCAACCTGCATGGCCTATTCCGAGAACCTTCGGAGCGTGAAAGTATCGAGTTCAAGGTCAGGATCTTCCCAATAGCCAAATGGAAGCCCAACTGATATGTAATAGGACACTACCGGCACTGCCAGCCTTTTGACAACCGATGCCAAGCAGATTCTCCGGATGGGCTCTTCCATCTCGAGACCAGCTCTCGACCTACTCGACCTGTTCCTATGTCTCTGGCAATGTTATGTTGTTAAATCTGCCGAGAAAATCCGACTAGAATGCGAGCGACGTCAATTTTGGGTGTCAAATGACGAACTAAAAGCTGAAAATGGTCTTCTACAGCAGCGTTGTAATGAGCTGGCCCTGGTACTCTGGGACCGCAGGCGCGCAGCCCACGCTGTTCAGGCTGGAATCGTGTCGATATTACGGACGTGTGACCGGAATTTTGACTAGAAAAATTATCTCTGAGTGATCAACAAACATTGGTGAATATGTATGAAAGCGAGGACGCTAGATGATCTTTTCTTACGATGAACGGGGATGACCGTTGAGACGTCGATGCAGCCGAGAGTTAATTCCCGTTGAGCTTGTGACTATCCATACCTTGCTCAAATAGAAGTATCAATGGACCTTTGATTAATACGATGTCTGGCTCTGATAAGAAGACTTAATTGGCCTATTGCTCGCTCTCTTTCCAGCCCATAAGATCGTCAATCTAACATCAATGGTCCGGTTCTGTTCTCTCCAGCTCTTAGACCTATCGACTTCCGAGGAAATGAACCATCTGGCTCAAATAGGTCGGTAAAGTCCATTTCACATCTCCCAAAACGTATACTTACCATCAAGCAGACTTTGTTTCCGATGATGACATCCACGCAGCCTGGCAGGAGTCCTCTAACGTACCCGCTGTACCCCCCTGCCTTGCTACCGACCGCCGCGGATTGAAGCAAAATCCTTTTGACCTATCAGGGGTCTCCAGCTCTGAGGTTTACGGGCTATCTTTGGTCGACTATGTTTTTTATCCGAATCATGTAACCCAACAAAGCTTTCTGTGGACAGGTCCGGATCCTCTGTCTCCGTCTACCAAGGCGGAGGATATTTTTGTATACTTTTCCGCTTTCTTGCTCTCAGAGGAAGTCTACTGGGTGGAATTTCGTCTTTCAAGATTTGACTCTCTCAGTGATGAGTTGATAAGTGAGCACCTTTTTTTCCTGCCACGATTCGAGACAGCGATGGGGAATCTTTCTCGGGTGCGCAAGCAGATTCTCGACATCATCTCCCAAGTATGCTCTGCAGCGCAGACAGCCCGCTTCCGACTGTCGATGTGGCCCCGCTTGGAACCTCTTCCTTACACTCAGCACTTCATGATGTCGCCGTACTCCACCCTGCCTATGTTGCCATGCCCCGATCCGGGGCTCTTCGTTCATAATCTCTGTGTGAATTTCAGGTAGAAAAGGCGGCTGAACTGAAAATACATACATAATCAGAAATACAACGAGTGTACACGAGCACAGATGGTAATCTGGGCTACTCATCCTTTCAAATGAATTTCATTTTGATTTTAAGACTCAAGGTAAGACCAAACTGTGCTATAAAAGAATGCCCCGGCAATTAATTCATGTGATCTGTGCTCTATTCTAAAGGAAAATTGTCGAGAGAGATCCGCATTTGGAGCTTGAATGAAAGATAACTCTGTTATTTTTTCTCTTATGAGCCTGATATCGCTTTTCCGTTTATCGTTATCGAAAACTCCTTGGTTTCTCATTCCGTTACTTCATTATAAGAGCAAGAATCTAATTGGATTCGAGGATCTACTTCTTGCCTGTCTCCTGCCTGTATTCTGCCTGCATAACCTCCGCAACATTCTGCTAACGGGTACGAAAAAGATACCAGAGGCTGATGAGGCTGGTCAAAATCACGAGGATACCAAGTACAATCTGACTGATAGCCCCATGGTATACAATGCTGCAACGAGGCAGGGAGCCTCGATCATCGAATGCTGCAAATATGTCGAGAAATCCATGCATCTGCTCCATAAGATACCCACCCAAAGCGAGTACAACCACCCCGAGGAATAATTGGGCAATAAAGAAGTTGTCAAATACAGTCCTCCCATCTCGTACCCAACTTGGGTGAGCGAGAAGTGTGAAACCAAACAAGGAGAAGAGAACCGAGGAAAGTGCGACAATGACCATTGCCTTGCGAAAGTCCCTCATCAGCTCTCGGAATGCGTCGTACAGGATGGGGCTGTCGGATTCATTGAGGCCAGCTGTTACCTGGTCTCGCAAAGTATCTGCGAAACGAGCAGTGACAGAATTAAAAGCAGCGACGAGCAGCCAAATAGTGGTGAGAGAAAAGACCCAGAGACGAACAAAGATGCGAGATGTATCGGTATATTGAGACATGGTGGAGTTGAAAACGAGGAAATCGAGATGAATCTAGCCAGAAGCTTGAGCTGCACAATTTCAGGGATCAATTCAGACTGAGGATGCGTAGGTACAGTAAAAAAGAGGGGTCAATAAGACGAACATTTGGGCACCAGCATATAAATACTTTCCATATAAAATAGAGGCATATGCGAATGTATCGTTCCTGTGAGCCCTCACATGACAAAATTTGGTTGCCTACAATTCTTTTCTGGCTCCAGCTCGTCAATGCATACCTCGTAACCATACTATCCTAGGAGCAGACAAGGAATGCCATTCAGCCCCAGCTGCTGGATGATCGACAAAATAGATAAGTTAAAAATTGCTCAGAATCCTTATTGCTCCCAGGAATCGGACATAACTTTCTAGGAGTTCTTTCTGAAATGGAAATGCCCGGAACGAATAGATAAATTTGCTACTCACTGTTTGCACATACAGCTTCAGGCCAGTGTACTACTCCTTCTTTTGCTGTATTATGGGTGCACTGAGCATTGGTGGACAGTAAATGGGTTATTTCGAGGGACCGACTACGGCAGGATGGTACAAACAGACTTTTAATGCTTAAGTTCTATACACTATTCGCGAGCGTCTAGTACCTTGAGATATTTCCAATATTACTTTTCGGAGGTGGCAATTCTTCACCGGCTCGGAGCCAGCACTATGTTCAACCTGTACCTTATGAACATCGCCAGTCTCTGACAAACTGGAAAAGCGGCCAATTACTGCTATGGCCTTTTATGATAGGCTTGTTCCTCGTTCACTCCATTTCCCCAAATAATGGTATGGTATTCGGACTGAGTTTGGATATGGTGTCGCAACACATTAGAGCACGAACAGTAGACTCAGAGATCGCTCAGCCGATCTTTGGACCTCCAATCAATCAATCACCTGATTCTATTGAACCTGTTTAGTATTAGCCAGTACATCAATTCCTCATCCCGACACTTCGCCGGGGCACAACTATCGCAGCCGCGCGCCCCAAAGGCAGTCTAACGAAAGGAGCGGCAATTAGGCCACGGCAGGCTTTGACCAAGCTCTAAGAGCGTTTTCAGCAAGGGGAGCATAACTAATTGTACATACACGGAAATATTTGGTTTAAGCATCGAGTCATTATTTTGAAGTTTAGGAGTTGCTGTCGAGCGGAAAGAGTGGTCAAATACCACTAAGACGCTTTTGGGTGGGATGTTCATCGTCCGCCCAATTCCCCACGTATTCGTGTGGTATTCGGTGTAGACTCGGAGTATGGTGTCGTAACACACCGAAACTAGATGATACAGACTCTCACGAGTGTTCAACCACTCTGATCTTGAATCAATCAATCATATGATTCTATTGGACATGTTCAGTACTAGCCAGTACATCAATTCCTTATCCTGACAGTTGCATATATTCAATTCCGTGCTGTGTTGTGACGAGATCGCACCGGTTCCAACAACGAGTGGGTCCATGATGAAGTTGATTGGATATCTTCGCGCCCAAGCCATGCCAAGGAACAAGGCCGCGCTAATCCTGGTCAACGACCCCCTGTCCCCACTCGATGCCCGACTCCTTCTGACTGATGAAACGGAGCCGGTTTTTCACTCTTGTGCATGTGTGATCTCTAGCCACGAAAATGATCTCCTTCGATTGGTCACATCGACAAATATGAAACGTGAAGCCGCGTCTGAATCGCGAGGCTGCAATAGTGAGAGTGATGAGCGACCAGCAAAAGTGCCCCGGCGAGGGAGCTCAAGCACGAATCCAGGGCCCTTGAAGCTCGAGCAAGACCTCAGCAGAGTACAGCCGCCACTCTCTCCACTCTCGCCTGATTGTAATAGCGAAGTCAGTTTCAATCTCGTCTCTCAATAGCCATTTGACTGACTGCATAGAATCCCAATACACTAGAGCATCGAACAGCACCTCCGTCTCTCACGCATGCGCCCATCGAGCTCACGGACGGAATATATCATTGGATACCTGCCCCATCGGAGGTCGACGCGCTTGAGACAATGAGCCAACCATCATCGAAAAGGTCCCGATCACGTTCGATCTCAACGGATCGGGGGCGTGCTCGGTCGGTTTCGTCGGAGAACAGCGAGAGCAGCTCGGCCCGGGACACCAGATCATATGCCTACAGAGCCGTCAACTATGTCACTATTTTGGAAACCAAGGGCTGCTTCATGCGACCGTCCCCGCCGGCCCGGTACCCGACGATATTGCGCTTTGTGAGCGCCTTCTCGCTCAGCCGGTCGAGCCTCCTACCGGTACACTTTTCGACGACTTGTACCTCACAGACTTCCATAATGCATTGCGGAATCGATCTGAAGCGCGTCTTTTGGTGGACCTACACCCCCTCATTATGCCATCCGCAGAAAATCAGTACATCCAGGGGAATGAATCTTTGAAAGACGTGATTGATGGATACAATGATCCGTGGCTGAAGACCGAGCCCATATACGGTCCGAAACCGCAGCCGGACCACGCGCGCGGCTTGAAGTGGTCGACCTTTTCCGAGAGCCAGCGGCGCAAACTGGGGATCAAGCCGGACGAGAAATCACCGTATACGGCGCGAGAGGATATGTATTTTCCTTACGTGACAGCAGAAATCAAATGTGGGAACCAAGCGCTGGAGCTTGCCGACCGGCAGAATATGCACAGTATGTGCATTGCCCTGCGGGCTGTGGTCTCTCTGTGCCAAGCGGCGGGCTGCACGGAAGAGGTGCATCGGCGGATTTTGGGGTTCTCGGTCTCTCATGAGCTCGAAGGCGTTCGTTTGTACGGCTACTATCCCGAGATTGATGGTGGCAAAGTGTCATTTTACCGCTGGCCGGTCGCGCAACCCAACATCTGGACCAAAGAGGATCGGTGGACATGTTATCGGTTCGTGGAGAACGTGGACCGCGAATTTCTGCCTGTCCATACTCACCGGCTATTGCGGATACTTGAAGGAGTTCCGGACCCCGACGAGGGTTCTTTAAGTGTCGTTGTCGACGAGCCTGGCTCTCAGCTGTTCATGGGTGGATCGCAGGAACGTTTGGGGTATCGCAGAGCTGCATCCTCGCAGAATCGTGGTTTGCAACCGGAGCTACGCATGATGGTTCAAACATTACAAGAACAATTGGCTGAACAGAAGGACCGAGAGGAGAAACGAGAAGCGGAACATAAGGCTCGGGAAGAGAAACTTCTCGCTCAACTAGAGCAGCAAAAGCTCCGGGAAGAGGAGCGAGAAGTGGAGCAGAAAGCACGGGAAGCAGATCAGAAGGCACGGGAAGAGAAGCGTGAAGCAGAACAGAAGGAACTGCAAATGAAATTTCTTGCCCTTTTAGAACAGAAGGATAATTCGAAATGTGCATAAGAATAGTATCTATGGATATTCATGTAAAGACTTCAACTATGCCTGCGTTAGAGGACCCTCCCTCTTTTGATATTAGCGTCCCAATCGTAGGGGTAGATAGGCCAATGGGGACGCGGTGTGCTTCGAAACGTTTACACCGCGATGGTCTCTCCACTGGGAACGCGTGCTGCCGCACGTTGTAAGCCCTCAAATGACGTGGCATGAATGGTCTTTGAAGTGGAGGACGTGGCAGTATAAAAATTAGTGCTGTGGGACCTAGTCAGACGAGTGAAGCCCAAGTTGCAAGGGTTTCGGCCCTAAAGCGATGTAAGTGAATATTTCTATTTATATCATGAGATCGCGATCGAGAGAAAAGCGGAGGTCATCAAATGGTAATCTTTTTGAGTAAATTGAGACCTTGGAAAGACCGCAGTCAGAAAGGCTGCACGTAGAATGAGCAGTCATTTCGAAGGGAATCTTGTCCTCGTCGAGCTATACATGTACTAGCCCACCAAAAAGTCAGCAATTTTTGACAGATGGTGTCCCCGAATTCATAGGTATCATGTAAAAAGAGCAATTCAAGGCTCAAAAACCTGCATTTCGCGTGCTGGGTTTGACGGCCCTGAAACAACCAGACTACTAAAAAGAAGACGAAGGGGAAAACGGTGCTTGGGGTGTCACTATCCTGTGGAAGACAACAGTTCTGGGGTTAACGATATGACGGGGCTGGAATTTTCAGCAAATGAGTATAACAGCACAGAAGGCATAAGACAAACTTTCACAAGAACACACACTCGGAATTTGAATGGCAAATTCCAAATGGTAACAAAACATATCTGTACTCTAGCCGGTAGATAGCAGCTCATTTTCCTTGGTCGTAAAAGGAAGGAGAGAAGGGGGTATCTTCTATAGTGGTCGCTCGGTATGCAATCGTGGAGGGGCTTTGACTCAGGTATGCCCTCTCTGGGAAGCCCTCTATGCCATCCGCATACCCAGGGATGGCTGTGAGAATTTCTGGTGTGGGGGCTAGTTAAAAGGAAAGATAATCAAAGTTAGCTATTGTGAGCCTGGAACATGGGTCTAATATGTGCAGTACATACCTTCTGGGGGCAAACTCCGATAATGCTGAAGTTTTCCATCTCCGAGTTGTGGCGCTGGATGCATGAAGTTATCGGCTGCGACAAAGTCGCCTGGTTGATCAATATCTCGAACAAAATGTGGCATCCTGTTCGCGTGGTTTGTCTCGTGGTACATCCTCATTTGTCGTTTGAAAGCAGTATGAATTGCTCCAAAGCTCCTCTCATGTTGAAAGTCTGCCAGAAACTCAGCTTGTATCTCTTCCTTATTCAAATGTCTCCTTTGCATAAACCAGAATGGTAAGCGCTCCAGGTCCTGGGTTGCCCATCGACGATTGCGGGATCTGGCTTTTTCTCTATCAGCTCTAGCCCCTGGTATGGCATTGATTGCGTCACTTACTTAGTTGAGGTTTATTTATAATTTGGACCTCTATATGTGATTTGTGGGTTGACACGCCTTTTCTTTTGCTATGCGTAGAAGTGGTCGAAGTATCCAATTGATGTGTTGCAGAAGATGGGACTCCACCCGGCAGATTGGGCCTGCCTGGCCCTTGGCAAACGGCTTCTTCGCTATGTTTCGCTGTCTCTGTGGGGTAAGGGCTTGAGAACGTCTTTGGAGAATCTCGAGATACGGTTTGTGGTTGACGATTTTCGGTCACAGTGTTACCATGAAAAGTGAGACCTGTGTTGTTGACTGGGTCTGTCGGCACTGACACGCGTTCATCATTTCTGTCCCGTAGATCGGTACTTCCTCTTGTACCGTAGCGTCCTATGCCAGCATTGCTCTGGCCTTCCATGGCTTCAGCCCCCGGATTCAGAGGTGTAGGCCTCATGGTCATTGACTCATGCCTGGTCATTGGCTCATGTTCAGCCAGCTTCTCCCTGTCGTTGAATGGGCTCACGATATTCGGCCGTAGTTCTGGGAGGCTATTTTGCGGATCAAAACAGGTCTTGTCACATTCATTGCTCGCCTCCTCAAGGGATTCTCTGCGGTTTCCGCTCTCCTCGCTAGGATTATCATGCAGACAGGTATGGTTGAAATCCTCTGTTTGTGGATAGGGATGCTCCATCAGGGGCCCCGGTTGGCAGCTAAGGCTCTGTCGTTTTTCAGAACCGTTCACGGGCATCGACGGTGTATCTGGAAGGGTGACTCGCCGACCAATTCGGCTATGTAGCCTTTGCCTCTGACCCATTCTCATGGGGGCTCTTCCGAGCAGTTTATTCGCCATTATCCTGGAAGCTGGCATTGTTTTTCTACCGTGGAAACTCCGTCTAGTAAGCTTTCCGGGAAGGCTACTTCGGAATTTCCTCCTGCGCCACATGCAATGCGCTCTTTTGAGCTGCTTCAGGGATGACCATGCTTTCCCGACTAGAGTCTCTTTGTTGGGAACTGCCGCGTACCCTAAACCTTGATCATGCTGGGTCTGCTCCAAAACCAAGCTTGATGGATATGTATTCGATTGTGTTGATTCTTTCCATTTGTCCAAAATATCTTGAAGCGCTCGAGTTCTCTGGTTAGCCTTTCCAATTATCTTATTGTTGATTTCAATCACTGTGGCTCAGGAATTTGCTGGTCAGTTAAGGCACAATCGTTTTTTGTACCAGACAAGGCCTAAGATAACTCACCTTTTGATGCAAGCCGGTTCGAAATTGCAACCATCTCGGCAGTGAACGACATTGTATATAACTCGGTTTGGACATCTCTCTTGTAGTACCAAGGTTGAATCAATTTCTGTGGTAGGCCGGAAATCATCATATTATGCTGGAAGTCTGACAGCTCCGCAGTTGCGTTGAAGTCACGCAGATAATAATGGTAGCCTTCGGCTTCCTTGAATTCGATCTTGGATCTGTCTGCATTCAGAACATCCAGCCAAGTGATGGTCCTCTGCATCGTGCCATTTTCGAGCTGGATGATTTTCGGGCTTGGAGACCCAAAGATGGCGTCTATCCCTTTCATAAGATTGACACTGATCATCGGGGCATTGCAAACGACCGCGAGGCTCGCGTTTTTTTCAAATTGATCCGATATGTCCTGAGATTCTTCTAGGGTGAGGCAAAGTCTTTCTTGCAGCGGTTGGAACTGCTCCAGGAGACTTTCTCTTAGCTCCAGGAAATTACCTACTGGGCGGTGATTTAGGCTTTGATTTTTTTCGGAGAACATAGATTCAGTCTTGCGACTGGTGGAGTCTTAATCGTGGCGGTTGGTTGTAGGCTCGTGAGGATCGTGGTATTCTTCTAGAAAGTCATAGAGATCAGCAGGTGTTGGTGCCTTACATCGAGATTCGTTGCCTACCTGGTGGGACCAGAGAAGATGTGGTGGGTATGAGGCGGAGAAAAAAAAGTTATTTTCTTGGAAGTTAATGATGAGTAGGAAATTTATAGCCCATGAATCTCTGGTCACGAAAGATAACCGGCCCTGAAAAGCATAGGAAATCACAGGCCAGTCTATTTGACATGGCTATGCCGAAGCCATAATCCCAACGTTGGCAGCCCGATTAGATCGGTTTGCTGATGATGAAGCACTGAAATCAACGTTGAAAACATCAATGGCACTGTTTAAAGACCCTATGCACATCACGCTCCAGAGATTATGACTGCCGATATGCTGTTCTGGGAGTATCTGCTGCCTTGGGCTCGTGACATCAATGGGGCCTCATTGTAAAAATAGATCGCACTTCCTCGGGGCTGCTTACAGTAAGCAGTCGCTCAGCCGCTGCTGGCGCCTCCTGCCGCACTTTCAAAGCATTGTCTTTGCATTATATAGCATCGTCAAGGAGTTTGACGCAGATTTGATCTTTTGTCCAAGCGTATGTCCAAATGCGGGAGATATTGCTAAAATGCTGAGTTCAGACGGAGTAATCCACTTTTCGACACACATTTCAGAGACTACAAGTATTGAAGTCAATGAAAGAGAAATACATGGGAAATCAATGTTGAGAGTACATAAAGGTTTTTTTGCTTGGGCTGACTATGTTCAGGTACATGCCGCAATTCAATAAGGTCCCGAACATAAACCGGACCGGCCCACGCACCACGCCTCATGGAAACTCAATCTGCAAGAAATGCATCACCTCTGAGATCAAGTCCTCTTCGATACCTCCAACGAGTCTATTTATCACTTCAGTGGGTATCATCGATCGTTCTTGTAGTTGTGTGCGAAGAGAGAGCTCGGGTAAACGAGGATGAGAGGGAACAGCCTGCTGTGGCTGCACTTGCACCCTGCTTGACTTCGGCAGGGTTTTCTGTAGGAATTCAAAGAGACGACAGAGACTCTCTGCGCTATGGTTTTCGCTGATGCGAAGGCAGAATTCGATGGCAGCACAATTCTTCTCAAGCAGACTATCTCTGTCTTGGGCCAAGCGATGAACAGCGGCGTGGCGAATGCCGGCGATCGAATGGCGCAAGTTCTGAACAGTGGTGATATTTTCACCATGTTGCTCAGACGAGATCTTCGATCGGTTTCTAGCTAAGAATTTGAAGAACTTATGCAGCTCCAGTGCCTCGGGGCATGTCCATCCAACGGCCAAAGACTGTGGTTGAAGCCATTTTTGAACAAATTGGAAAGCGGAATGCTCGAGGTGGCGTTGCAGCGTTTGGAGGATCAAATGCTGTGCTCGAAAAGGGATAGACGTCACATGAAGTCCTAGGATGGGAAACAATATCTCTATAAACTCTACCGATCGTAATTAGCGAAGGCACTCTAGTCTGTTGTTTTAGCTTACCCTTAGCTTTCAGTCCCCGGCTCTGTTTCAAAAACGATTTCAAGGACCTTCGACAGTCAGTTGTGGAATTTTTCAATTTTGAGAGGATCGCGAGGTTATTTACCGGTAGCTGATTGACTGTGGAGACCAATGATGGACAGCGGTGGAGTCTCTATTGGAGCGCGACGAAATCATTTTCCGATGACGGACTCGGCGTCGACATCTCTTCATCGATGGTACCTCGGCCGGCTTGTGGGCGTGGGTACACGAAGTACCCTGGTCATCCTGTGCTGGCAAGTGGAATAAAGATTTGGGCGGCATGACGCGTTGCAGTGACTGCGACTTGCGACGGAAAATATGTCGGCTAGGCTGAGGGAAATCTTTTTTCTCTCACGGGGCGAGAACAAAACTTTTGCAGGCGAAAAATTCTGCGGATGGGCAAGCGATTTGCCAAGGCGAGTCTTCCATGGAACGACTCTACTTATTAGCTGCGTGAAAACCGTTTCACATCGTTGAGCAACGTTGAGACCAATGATTTGCAAATTAATTGGCTACGGTGCGAGCGAATATTGGCAGACTTCTGGTGCCACGAGAAATTAAGCCGCCACGGCGACTAGCTCACGGCATGCCACTTCAATCTAAACCTCATACCAACTGCGTTGCAGGCCGTTTAAGCCAGGTGAATCAATGTTGATGAGGCAAATGATTTGTCACGCATCGCATCATGCCGACCACGGCTCCAGGTGGATCCATCCACTCCACCCGCTCTCTCCACCCCGAACTCTTGAAATTTCTTATTTCAACGTTGAATCAACCGTCTCAACACCCAGCAAAATTGCTGTCGCCCAGTGCGAATTTCGAGTACAAATCTCTGGGTCCAGCAGGATGTACGCAAGTGGTCGCTGCCGAAACCCCTACTCAGAATAGCATAAAAGACGCTCTTTTTCCGTCGAAAAGAAAAGCAGGACTTTCCTCCTCAGACTCCCGAACACTCGGGTGTTCTTCGCAGGAGGAGATCTGCGTTGCCAAAAAGTCTTCGCGGAAAAGGCCCCGCGTTACCAAGTCTGCCTCGCAGGACGGGCTCTGCGTCAACAAGTGTGCCTCGCAGGACGGGCGCTGCGTTACCAATAGAACTCCGCAGGAGGGTGCTGCGACACCAAGTTCTCCCTCACAGCCAATGAGCCCTGTGTTGTATAAATGTGCTCCGCGGGGACATCTGCGACATCAAGAGCCTCCGCAGGGACATCTGCGACATCACGAGCCTCCGCAGGGACATCTGCGATATCACGAGCCTCCGCAGGGACATCTGCGAGATCAAGAGTCTCCGCAGGGACATCTGCGATATCACGAGCCTCCGCAGGGACATCTGCGACATCAAGAGCCTCCGCAGGGACATCTGCGATATCACGAGCCTCCGCAGGGACATCTGCGACATCAAGAGCCTCCGCAGGGACATCTGCGACATCAAGAGCCTCCGCAGGGACATCTGCGATATCACGAGCCTCCGCAGGGACATCTGCGACATCAAGAGCCTCCGCAGGGACATCTGCGATATCACGAGCCTCCGCAGGGACATCTGCGAGATCAAGAGCCTCCGCAGGGACATCTGCGATATCAAGAGCCTCCGCAGGAGACCGCTGCGTCACCAAGTTCTCCGCAGGAGACCGCTGCGTCAACAAGTTCTCCGCAGGAGAGTGCTGCGTCAAAAAGTTCTCCCTCACAGCCCATGAGCCCTGTGACTGTAAAAATGTGCTCCCTCGCAGCAATGAGCCCTGCGTTGTAAAAATGTGCTCCGCAGGGACGCCTGCGTTACCAAGAACCTCCGCAGGAGACCGCTGCGACACCAAGTTCTCCCTCACAGCCCTGAGCCCTGTGATTGTATAATCTTGAGCTTCCATGCAGCCTTGAGCCCTGCGTTATCAAATTTGCGCTCATTAGGCGACCCGTGGCGCCGCGGTCCTCGTCCTGATCCTCTGACGATTGCAGGCACCTCTTCGTGGTGTCAGAGACTAGTATTCGAGGGAGTTACTCGAAGAAGCCAAGACCTGCTTCGAAGACCCAATAGAAATCAAGAATCCCCCCAAGGAAGCTTTGTGTATGCGCACTTCAAGATTCAATGTAGACTCCATCATGCGTGGCCATTATTAGCGCAGTGTGTTTTGTAGCCTTCTATCGTGCTCTGATTTTCGATAACACGCATTTTCTTACACGTAGCGTGAAGTAGAGCATTGAGTCAACGCGGCCGGTTGGAATCACGGCGTATGATAGCGGGGTGGCCAGTCTGGGTGGCGGCTGAAATTCAAGTAGTCTCCATTGGTGTCAATGCTTTTCTCTTCTGGCTAGCGGTGGAAGCAGGATTTGTCTGGATGTAGGGAGATACGGAGTTTCGACGGTGAGTGGGTAGTGTGTCGGTGTGTGATTGTGTTGGCGTGTTGATGGCGTTGGCGTGTTGATGGTGAGAATTGGAGGTGAGTGAAGGTTGAGAATTGGTGATGATGGTGATGGGGACCGAACCAGTGAATCGTGAATCCATGTTGATGTGCAGTGCGGGTGACTCCCGGGCGGTGAAGTGGTGGCCAACGGTAAACACTCATCGCCGTCAGAGTGGGGATCTTTGTTCCTTCACGAATGCAAAAGTTGATAAACAGTGCAAAATGATGGTTTTTACATACTAGATTCGATTTGGTAGTACATACTCCGGTCGCTCTTCTGTAAGACGTTCTCTCGGCTCGAGCTTCTTCGCATGCTCTTTCGCGATATTCTGTATTTGAGGTAGTGCCGCCGCATGCTGAGTTGAAACCGATAATATATATATCCCCAGGCCAGCGCTAACATATATATTACCAGCAACAAAGCTGCAAAGAGCCAGTAGGGCACCAGCGATAGAAAGCCTAATTCTTCCGAACATATTTCAAATATCATTTTGTGTCGGCCTCATCAAATGAAAGTCAAGTGTGCAGCTCAAAACACTGATCTTGCTGGATGTGTGCCCGGAAGAACGGCGCGTATGATTATTTGGAAAATGGTGGCTATAATCAAGCAAAATTCGCGCGTCAGGACCTCTCCTTTCGTGGTCTAATGGAATTTCCTGCATTGGCTTTCAAATAACGGCTCGGGTTCGATTCCTGCAGGATACATCCAGATGACCTTTCATCAGAAAGATGGATCAAAACCCGCTTGATTTTTCCCTGTCATTTCGCATTTTCTACGGTTGAGTTTTGCCTCTCGGCCACTTCGTTATTACAATGAAACCACTTTTCATAGTCACTTGAGC